TCCCTTCTACAGAAACGGAGTTCAACACATTAGAAACAATTTGTTGGGTGATTTTAATACCAAGCTACAAGCACTACAAGAAATCAAGGTATTAGCTATGGATTATTCCATTAATCCATCCTATATCAACAAAATCCATTGCTATATCTAATTAGCGACGAATTTACGATGGATAAAAATCCGTAGCCAAAACGCTTATCGCTAACCACTACAATAGATTAAATAGTGTCCATTGCTAAAATAGCGACGGATTAATCGTCGCTAATTAGCTTATGTTCGTCGTTAATTTCATGCTAAAAAGAATAAAAATATGATATAATGTTTCTTTCGAGAAGCTCGATGGTCAACGGAGCCCCTCTAACCAAGAGAACGATCGTGGAGAAAGGCGTCGAGGTAGTGCGGAATTGGTGGCTCTATAGGAGGACTAAGATGAAGGTCCCATGCTATGATACCCACGTAGAACGCCTAAAAAGGGAAATTCACATCCGATGTTAGACGAAGAACCATGTCTATTGCCTTTAGTTGTGGATGCACATCTAAGACTACCGATTGAGATCCCTAAGGAGGTGTGAGAGGTCGGTGAGAACCATATGTCATAGCTGGATAATATCACCTAAGACAATTAAATAAAATACAACAAATATATTACCAATTATGATCATATAAAAAATAAAATTTTGAGAGTCTTCCTTTAAAGTTGGATATTTTCTAATTACTTGATACGTAACTTGCTTAAAATATAAAACAACCAACATTTTAAAAATATATAAAAGTTAATATGATATACCGTAACAAATAAAGCAATAAAAAATACATCATTTCTTACTAATGCAACCAATAAAACTTATATTTAATTACAACCATCGTAATCATTATTTAAGTTTTCATCTCTCGACATAGATTCATATTCATTCCCATCTTTTTTATAATCCTCAACTAATTATATATCTACAAATGATCAATTTGAATCGTTCAACAATAAATCATCTCTCGACTTTTTGTATCAAATCATGTCGTATTTCTAAATCGTCTTCGCTGAAATGGTTTAACATTTTATTAGACGATGATTGATGAATCCGGCAAGTCGATTTCGGACTTAGCTTTGATCTTACAAATAACCCACTAATTTTGATAATCATGCCTCATGCTAGGGTACTAGACATAATATACTAGAGTTGATTTTAATGTTAGGACAAAAAGTTCATAATTCCATAATTTTTTCTATAGTTAACATCCACCAAGTATATACTCGTGAAAGAATCCTTATTTCTTGCGAGTGTAGGATCAAACCAATCATATTTAAATAATACTACTCTCTTCATTTGTAATGTAGGATACTCTACTTGTAGAATTTTTATCAATATCTCGTAGTAATCGCTCTTTGTCGCATTGTAATTGGTTTTTTTAATACATACACTCGCTATTAAAACTTGTTGTTTTGAACCTTTTTTTAATGTACGAAACATATACCCGTTAATAATATAACTTAGGTACGACCCGACGAGTAAGTAAAGGGTCTATCATGAAAATTACTTATGTATATTTTATCCGTAAATTTGACATCAAATTCATCAAAGATAAGTTACCATTTAATTAATGCTACCTACAAGCAAAACACAAGTTAAATGAGTATACTCACGTATAAACTAAATTAAGAGGTAAACTCGGTTTCAAGTAGAGCATTAACCTCATTCTTGAGCATGAAGGAATAGTTTTGTCATACTTTGACAATAAATCCACTAACAAGGAATGACAATATACGAAAGTCAATGTGTCTATTATAATTGCTAATATTATGATATGTAAGTAAATATGTATAATTTAGATAAGAGAGTAATTTAACAAACTTACTCAATGTAAGGGTTTACTTATTTACAATTCAATAATATATATTGATGGACTGCTTTGTGCTTATCTTCTCGTCTTCTGTGTCAACTATTGATCGATCTTGTTATTTGAATACGAATAACATCTTTTCAATAGAGTCACTCTCATCACCACCACAATCAATGTTATATGGTACTTTCCAATGTCCAAGTATACATATGAGGCTCAAAATAATACAAACAAAACAAATAGGTTTTTTTTGACCAAATATGCATTGCATATTGATCATTTCACTTTATCCTTATTCTTGACACTATTTTTTAGCTTCCAAAGATACCTATAATATAAATTAATTTAATGTTCGACAATTACAAGTTCATTTAATTTAACATTAAAATTCAATATTATTATCTTTTAAACAAATACATTCATCGATATTACACAAGTTTCACGATAAATGCCTTATATGCTAAGGGGATTAAAAGATATTCCATAAAGTGAAAAAAGCTAAGAGGGAATATACGCTTTAGTTTCCAAAAAATAATAGGTATCTCATCATTAAGCTATAACATATCTTTTTCTCTCATCACAAGTAGAAGTTAATTATTTGAAGAACAAACTCAACTCGGTAAGTGCTTTTCAAACATTTCTCAACAAAAGCTCCGGAAATATAATGGGAACTAACCTCTCGTATAAAGACATGACAAGTCATGACCTTTTATGTCATATAGTTTGGCATTTCTCATATCAACACATCTAGCTAGATTAGAGATATATCTATCGAGAAACCTTAGTTGTTTGACTTATTCAAGCAATTTCATTTTTTATTATTTGAAAAGGGTAAAAGCAATTTTAGGGTACTTTGTAGAGGCATCATTCCTTGCTAATTCTAACCCATCATAGAAAATTTTCAAGTCTTCTCCGAATTAGCATTGTCTTTAGTCTTATCTCGATATATTAATGACTACGTTAAAGATATCACAGAATATAAATTTCTCAATATGTATGATACCTAAATTGTGTCAAATGAGATTTATAACAACAAATGGTTTTATTCAAATTTAAATGACACTATGATACCTAAATTCCGGATGACTAACAACAAATGTAACAAATTGTTCAACCCTATTGACAAACTCTTCATTTAACAATTCATCAGCTTAATCTAACATCTATCCATTACCATTCGAATCTCAATTTTTTATGTCTATAAAAATTACACAACACACGCAAATAATTCTTGATCAACATTCCTATAAATTATATGTTTTTTGATTTCTAAATTATTTAATTAATATTTTTTAAAATATTTAATAAAATTTCAAAAGAGTCTCCTATAAATTGGATCTTTCCCAATTAACAAATAATAAAAACACATAGATATTACGCCCATCGAGACTAATAATCGTCTCGGATACTTCATCAAAATTAAATCTCAAACTTGTCTTCCCAACTTCATCATAAAGAATTGAACCAACCTTATTTCTCCTTGATTCTCGAGAGTCTTGAACCCCTCGGGTTCGATACACTACTGCAGATCTCAACACATGTCAACAACTATAAATTAAATAACTAAAGTATATAACTCCACTTCAAAACAAATTTGAAATAAATTCTATTTTAAATACACTTAACAAATTAATCTAAATCTAAATATAATTTAATCTAAAATGTAACAAATTATTATTGTATAAGTTAATCTAAATAATCTTTAATCTAAAAAATATATATATAGTTAGAGAAGTTACATAATACTACTATATATATTGTGTTTTAGTTTTCTTTAATCTAATTTAATATTTTAGATAAAAAAATAGTTTATTTACTAAAATATTACTATTATTATGTTTTGGTTATCTTTAATATAATTTAATATTTTACAAAATTTTGATTTCTTTTGATTTGATTGGTAATTAGTTTTAAAAATATATTTTTAATATTTTTTTGGTTATCTTTAATATAATTAAATCTTTTACCTAAATTCATTTAATACTAATTCAAATTAACACAAATTAATCAACATTAACATATTTATTCATTTAACACATAATTAATCAAATTAACCTACTTAAAATTAATCTATCACAATTATTAGTAATTCGCATTAATTAACTAAATAATAAATTCAAATTAAAAAAATTAATTTAAACCTAATTTAAATAAACCTAATTAATCAACTAACAACTAATTTAAATTAACCCTAATTTTAATTAAAATTAGCATAATACAATTCACCATAATAATTTTAACTTAATTAATCAACTAAGGACTATTTTAAATTAACCTTAATTAACCCTAATTAACTCCAATTAATTCTAATTTAAATTCAAATTAACTTAATACAATTCACCCTATTTAAAATTAACCTAAATCAATTAACAATAATTCAAATTAATTAATTAAATTAACAAAAAAATCCTAACAACTAACAAAAACAACAAATTAACTAATTAATCAAAACTAACATAACAATTAATACAAATAGCTAATGGGTATGGAATACAAAAGTAGAAAGACAGAGAATTAACAATGGGGGAGACAAAGGAGAGGATTGAACGGTTGAAACTCTTGATTTTTGGAAAAGAGAAAGGCGCCGCTTCGGTTGGAGCAACCTTGGGAGGGAGTTGAGTGACTTGGGTGGTGGTTTCGGGTTGGGCAGTCGACGGTAGTAAGGAGGAGAGGGAAAGAAGAAAAAGGAAATAGGAAAAAAGAAGAAATTATGCTAATTTAAGGAATAAAATTTAGCGACAAACGCGATTCCATCGCTATTTATGGATAAATTTAAATGTTCATCTCTAATTAGAGAGGTATTTAAGTATCCATCGCTAATTTGAATTCCAAACAACCACTTCATTTTTTAGGATACTAAAAAATGTGAATTAGCAATGAAATTGCTAGTCTGTCATTAATTTCCCTTATAAATTTGATGTTATTCCATCGTTATGTTTTTTTCTAGACTACTTAATGATAGAACTCCATCCGCCACGAACATTTCATCACAAGTTTGTCGCAATTTCGTTTCTAAACCTATTGGTCACAATTTTATCTTAAAACTATCTCTAATTAGAGTCGATTTAGTTTTCATCATTAATATTCGTCGCTAATTAACTTGCAATGTAAGGTTGTTGCTGTTTTTTTTTTTTTTTTTGGGTGGAAAAGGGGTTTCATAGACGTCACTTCTCTTCCAATGCAGCGATATTCTTTTTCCTTGGTCTTGATGATCCTGAGGCCTTGACACTTGCAATTAGGATGTCAGGAAATCTTGATGTGCGCATCGCCATTTTATAATTAATTTCAAATGGGACATTGAGGACATCGATGAAACCAAAGGCAACTAGATGACATATTGGTGAACCAAATCGAGGACAAAAACTCTGGTGATGCTTGTTTTGTTTGTCGTGAGGTGGAGGCTAATGACAATATAGAAATATGATAGTGATTCGACGTTCGGAGACTAATTATAGGAGGCCCAAGAAGAAAAAATTTAAAGAAGAGATACGGGGGACTGGATCAAGTACGGGGAGCTCGATGCATCACGAGATTTCTGTGGAAGTATAATTCCTGAGTTAGTGATGCAGTAATGTGGGTCTATTGATGGAGCCATTATTAATTACCCTTCTAACAATTTAGAACAACGGAAAGAAAAATATACTTTCTTGCTAAGAAATGAGATTATTTCTCCAAGATAGCGTTGCACTAGTAATTAGCCATTTAGGAAAAGCATGATTTTCACCTTTTGCACATAAGAGAAATTTGGTCACAATACTGAGATAGTATGTGATGAATAGAGAAGATCCCTTGGCTGGGACAGTAGATTTGGCATGGTCAGGGAGCCCTTATTGTAGGGATAAATGTGGCTCAGTTCAAACTCAGACCTTCCATTTCATTATATATATATATTTATTTATTTATACACCATTCAAACTGGACCTTGAGAGCACTTGGATGTAAAATATGTTGGTGAAGGAGTAGTTAATATCTGGTGAATCTGCTGCCTTTCCATATTCATGTTTATTAATGTTTGATTATGGTAGTGTTCCAGACTCTAAAACGCATCGAAACAGAGAGAGAGCATTCAAAAAGTATGATTTTATTATTAACAAAGAGAAAAAATAGCTTTAGAATCAAGAAACAATCAGGTCGGCAACTAAAATAAGATGGCGACTCTGGTTTCCAAGGCACTATCTCTTTGCAAACCCGCTTTTTATCTATCAAAAAGAAGAGAGGAAAAATACAATAATGAACTATGTCCCCAAATGCAGGGACGAACAGCACAGGAAATTGAATACAACGAAGAGAAAAAAGGAAAGAAAATCCTATAGTTGTTGGCATCTGATTGACGTCAACAATGGGTAAAATTTTCTTTTATGTATTGATCTTAATTAACATACTGGCAGATCGACTGGAGGAGACTCTAAACTCTCTAATTCCCCAATCCCATCCTCTACCAAGAAAGCCATGGCCAAACCCCATGTGATGTGAACATCCAAGTGACAATGCATGATCCACACACCTGTTTAATTATGACAAAGATAAGTTGATGAGTTTAATGTTCAAGTGAACGATTGAACCATGTAGTGTACCTAGAATAACTTTAAATTACCTGGATTATCGGCAACAAATCTGATAACTGCCCATCCATTCACAGGTACTCCAACTGTATTCCTCAGTGGTGGATCAACGAGATTAAATTTAGATTTATCAGTTTTGGGATTGAAATTTCCAAATCCTTCAGCAATGATGTAGAAGTCGTATCCATGAAGATGGATTGGGTGGTTTTCTGGGGTGACAATGCTTGTGTCTTGTAACACAATCTGCACCCTTGATCCGTACTTCAACTTGTATAACTTAGTTGCAGGAACAGGCTGAAAGAGGGAACGGCTCACATTACCAGTGTAATCAAATTTTACTGGTGGTTTTGCTGGAAAGTCAGTGGTGAAAACTCCAGGAACATTTTGCTGATACGCTTGCAGTAACGAAATACTTGAAGGAAACACAAAAGACACATTGTTCATACTAGCCGTGAAGCGAGTGCCGTTGGGTCCTTGACACCGCCTAGCTCTAAAATTTTTAGGGCAATTGTTGAGTCCTAGGCCAACTGTGAAGAAGAGGTTCTCGTCAATATCAGTGGGGACCTCAACTTTTCGAGGACTTTTAAGGCTTCCGCTGAACGCTGTGACTGTAGCTGTGTCATTATAAGCTGGAAGTGGTGGCATAAATGGTTTACTTGTACACTTAACAGGGCAAAGAGCAGATTTGTATTCAAGAATGGCGGTGGTTGTAGTATTGTCAAATGGTGCATTTTGTGCACTTTGATAAGCTCGGGCTGCCATGTAATATCGGCCAGGTAGTTGGTCGCCAGAGATCAAAACATCTGTGGTTTGGCCAGGTCCTAGCACTATGACTGAGGTGGTAAAGGGCTTTAGATAGGAGGCATCAGCGCCAACAACTGTGAACTTGTGGTTGGCTACGGTGAAGAAAAGTGGTTGATTGAGTGCAGCATTGATGACTCGGAGGAGGTTTGTCTCACCTGAGTCGATCGGAACTATAGTAGTATCTGCAACAGTATCAGCCCCATAAGCTCATCTTCTATGAAATACTTATATAAGAAGCATTCGCACAACATAGAAATTTCAGTTATTTCGGTCAAGTAGTCCTAAGAGGCTATTAGGCTATAGCCCATTAAGCATACTTCATGGGCTCTAGCCCACTGGAATTCTAAGATTGCTTCAGTTTGCAATATTTTTGAAGCTTAAAGCTTATTTTTGAATAGCAACCAGATTTAATAATAATAATATATAAAAAGCCCATTTAGGCATAATACTAAATTAAGCAGTTCCAGTATGGTTTACTGGTTATATAGTACTACGTACTTGTAAGTAAGTAAACAATGGTTAAATTACCTTTGCTGGAGCAGTTATAAAGATCACCAGGTTGACCATTAATGGTATATGCATCAGATATATTTGGAGCTGCTCCAGTTCTAGTTGCCTCCCTCACCACATCAATGGGGTTCCCATCCCACCATTCGCCTGATCATCATGGCTAGTTAGAATCAACAATTGTAACACTCAAACATTAACTTAATTACTTAATCAGTTACAATTCACAGATTCAGTAATTAATAATTGCGTACAGGAATCTATATATAGTAACTGTACTTAAAGAATTTGATTGATTGATAATTACGTACCAAGAATTATGGGTGTTTCGCGCTTTGGCTGCTTAGAGAATGGGTATGAGGATCCTTCTCTTGGACGGATAATGAGAGCACCATAAACAGTGGCTCTAACCCATGAGCTATGAGCATGCCACCACAGGGTGCCCACTTGCCCTTGAATTGTAAACCTGTAGGTGTAACTCCCTCCTGGTCTAATTGGGCACTGGGTCACAAATTCTGGCCCATCTGCCCAGCCCGTTCTCATTTGCCTAACGCCATGCCTACCAAAAAAAAAAAAAAAATTGATGATATGAAAATTGGGGAGCTGAAATGGTTCGTGAGCTAGCCGGGTGCATGCCTCATGCTCCATGTAATGACTTGTCGTGTACATATATGTGTTTGAGTGTTCTCAGACGTGCATGTGTGGCAGTGGCAAAGTTCAAACACAGTACTCATGCAATTAATTACCAGTGAATGGTAACATTATAGCGGGCTCTGTTGACAACTTTTACAACCAGAGTGTCTCCATCGTTCACTTCCAACGTTGGCCCTGGGAGCATTCCATTTACTGTGATGCTATTGTGAGTTTTGCACAGCCTCTTCACTTTCGTTGCTTGAACCTGTTCCATATCAAATTAATGTTAACGAGGAGAAAGAGGAAGCAGAGATATTATTAATTTAAAGATGATAGAACATGCATATATATATATATATATATATAACCAAAAAGTAAGAAATTGATTACTAAGACATACAACAAACTCGTGGTGGTGGGTTTTTGCAATGGCTAATGACATTGTTGAGGCTAGAAGCAGAAGGGCTAAGAAGAAAGAAAAATGGCGATCAGCAAAGATACGGTTGATAGCCTCCATTTTTTTTATTTTTCTTATTTTCTGTTTATGCTAGCTTGCCTTTCTTTGAGTGATGGTTAATTGAGATGAGTGGCAATGAAAGGGAGTTAATGTACTCCTTTTATAGGATAATTGTGAAGCAGAATTAACGAGTTGTTTGAGGTTGGCGGATTAGGTTTTGATTTAGCAACTGGTCAGATTTCTAAGGCAAAACTTAGTTCAATCCTACAGAAGTTGTTGCACCCACTAGCAGAGCAAAATTGAATAATTCTCAAATGCTTGTTTCACAAGTCTTTTCATTAATTTCTGGTTGAATTTCAACAAATCGCCATCATTAATAATTTTTGTTCGCACATCGAAAAAAATAAAATAAAATTGAATGGAGTATTACAAAGAAATGGAATCTTGTTTTTCTTTGTAATTCATTGACGTCTCTTATAAAGTTTATGGTCTCAACATCTAAATTAATCTTATGACAAGCACATATAATCGTTCAATGCTAGAAGAAAAAGAAACCCTCCAAGCAGGTCAAACTCGTTACAAACGAGGATACTGATGTAGGCCTCCAACTTTTGTGCTAGCAAACAAGGTCAGTGCATACATGTTGAGAGTGATGCTCGAAAATTACTTGTTTGATGGGGGAATGCTCAATTAATTATTAATAACTTACTAATCATAAGACTTCAGGCTTAAAGGTCCACAAGTACACGAACAATGCTATCAATTACTTGTTATATATATAATTCCTTATCAAGGAATAGGTTATGCACCAGAGGTAAATATCGATTCCCAAGTGTTAATTATGCGACCTCTAATATTCCAATCAATTACGAGTGGTTTTGTCCATAAATAAAATTAGCTGGTAATTGTAATGGTAACAACTTCATCAGTTCTGCGTTTAAAGGATATAATCTGATTTCTATGGGCCAAATAAAAAAATTGAAGATGGAATTAATTAGCACGATCCAATTCCTCCGGCTTAGCTGAAGGACAAATCTGAATATGATTCGAACAAAAGTCAAGGTGATAATGGACGGGACTTTTGTGTACGCAATGCCAAGATCAGAGTTTTTAATTATAGGTTAAGAATGGACCACCCAACCCCTGTATTAAATTAAAGTCTCTTTAAAAATTTGTAAGTTGAGTGTACCAAGTTTTTTCCGTTGTGTGCAAGACATATATATAATTGGTTTGTTTCGTCTAACGACGACAAATATTTCAACAATATATAGATAAAATTAATTAAGTTGGAGGTGCTTAAAATAGGTAAACATATAGGCATTTAGGCCGGTGTGGCTTGCAATGATCAAGGGTAAGTAAAGACATTTTTAGGTTGCTGATTAATATATTAAGAGCACGTACGTATTTCTAATTATATATGTTGCTCAAAACGTGCCACATTCTCACATGATTTGCTTAATTGATCCGATGGGTGGGTTTATCGACATAATCACGTGTTCTGTCCTCAATTAGATGCCATTGTTTCGAACTCTTAGTTTTTAGCAATTTCTTATCATCCAAAACAATTTTGTTTCTAATTTAAATTGCCAAAAATTATTAAAGGATGGAATAAATTATTTTTTTGCTATCATAACGGTAAATTGACTAGTTCCTTGATTTTAAGAGGGGGAAAAAAAACTTGAATTCCATGATTAATGAAGATCGAGAACAGTTTAGTCTCTTTGAGCGGAAGCATATCTAGCTAGCAAGAGAAACACGGATGGTTGAAGATTTTGATAGGTGAACAAGATTGAAAAAGCAAGCAACTCAGTTTGGTAGAGTTTGTTATTGACTTCTTGAGAATCTTGAGATGTTAAGTAGTAGCAAATAACAAGTCTACATAAGCAACGTGATTAATTAAATAACTGAAAAAAAAATGATTGAAAAAAGCAGACGGTTCCTTAGTTGAAGTTTTTTTGCTGCTCTGTCTTTCATCATCACCTTTATTTTCTTTTCATTTCTTCCAAATCTTTCCGTGCTATAATTATAGCTTGTTGGTCCAACTTGCTTTCTTGGGTTTCAATTTCAATTTCTATGGTAGTTATGAATGGTGCAATTAAACTTGAAAAATAAAAAGTTCAAGTTCATAACACCTTTTTACGAATTCATTAATTAATTTGAAGCACGCAATCTCTAGCCATCTGGGCAATTCCCACTTGATTTTCACACTCAAATTCCTGATAGCATTTTCAAGGTCCACCCAACTGGGTTCCACTGCCACCAAGTTAATAATCCATATTGGATATATTTCTGGACGACTCGATAGCCGTATACAGTGCAGTCAATTTCAGACTTGCTTAAGTTAAATATTAGGAACGTATCTCGAGTAGCGTAATACCGGTAGAACAGAAAACACTATGATGAACACATTCCATAGGCCTAACGAACTGCAAAGAACCTAGACCTCAGGGCAAAACTCAAAAGCCCAAAAATGCGTAAGCAAATGCGTCAAATACACTCTCACCTAGGCCTTAACTAGTAGTGGTTATGTGTTCCAGACATAATTGATGTTGTTTGTATGTATAATTTAAGGAAGTAAATTAAGAGACAGATTTAACGGAATTCAATTCCTATTGGGAAAAAAGCTAGAGTGGTTGGCATGTTGTTGTTGCTGCATAAACCCTTTGCACCTATTGGTAGGGTTCACTGTTTACAAACAAGCTGCAATGCTAACAGACAGAGTGATGAAGCAAAATCAGTGAATCCTACTTACCGAAATTAAGCTGCAAATGTTGCTTCATCTGTTCAACAATATCAATGTTATATTCGGTAACCGACATTTCATTATCTATGACGAAAGATATAAATATATATATATATGTGACTTACAGTAGCGAGAAATTCCAACTCTACTGGCTGCCCCACAAAACAGAAGCAACTTTTACATGCTTTGGTTTTGTAATTTGTTTGATCAAACAAAAGTTAACGATAAAATGTTGCTGCCCAGGATTGAACTGGGGACCTTTAGTGTGTAAGACTAACGTGATAACCACTACACCACAGCAACCAATTTATCATCGTTGCTATTATTAATGATACATACATTAAACATACTGGCTTTGGTTAATCGGATGGATGATAACACTGTAACTATACCAACTTTCAACCTTTTCTCTTTAAATCATTTTATCATTTTAAAATTTGAAATTAAAAAATTTTATTTTTAATTATAAAATATCAAACTAAACTTCATAAAGTTTGCTGTTAAAAAAAAAAATTCAATTAGGATTTGTGCTTGAAAGTTAAAAGAAATACAAAAGTCATATTTTTCATAAAAAAGGTTTGTTTATTTTTTTCTTCAATTTTCACTCTCAAACTTAACGAGGTTTTTTTTTTCCTAACAGTAATCTAATTGAATTTATTTTAAAATTTTATAAATAAAAATAATTATTTTAATTATTTTTAAAATTTTAACATGATAAAATTATTTAAAAAGAAAGTTTCGTTCAATAAAAAAAATAATAAAATTATGATTTTATATTCGAGCACTTTATGAATTAAAAAAAAAGATAAAAATACTAAGATAGGGCGGCTCTCAACCAAATGTGATTGTTGGTCCCTGTCGAGGTGGATTACAGTGAGGCGACTGGAATTCAGATCATAAATATTCCAAGTCTGCCTGCCCGTTGATTCAGTACTTTCCTATTCCGTTGGGAAGTTGAGCAACTGACTAAATCTAAGAGGAAGGCAAGGCACTGATTTAGCAAGAAAAGGCAGCTAGGAAGGAGGACTCTGAAAAGGATTCATAGATGGCATCGAATCCCCTTATTCAAATTCTAGAGATGAATCTCCACTTTCTTAAACTGCTAAGCTGAAGGACAGGAAGCAGCTTTCTTATTGGCATTGGAGCAATTTCATTACCACCTTCCCACTCTTCGCTGACACTCACCTGGAAGACTTCTACCCGAATTAAGCATTAAATTCTCATAAACCGATTCACTCGAATGACGAAAAAGTGAAGAAAATAAAAAAAAATGATAGAATTATTTAATTGATATTTTTAAAAAAATTGATATACTCAAATAAAAAAATTAAAATTCATGTACTTGATATATAATTTGATATTTTGAGATTAATAGACACTTTATCAATTAATAAAAAAGTTAACGGAAATACTTGACTTATAGTTTTGAAAAAATTAATATATTAAAAAAATTAAAATTTATTTATTCGATTGGGAAAAAAATAAAAATTATTATATCTATAGTGTAATTATCTCATTAATTTTAACAAATAACAAACACATGGGGAAGGAAAAGAAAAAAAGGGTTCCTAGAAGGCTTTTCATATTCAAATTGAAATCTCTAATTTTTAAGAGAACGGTGAACACTGGGGCTGTGCTTGTTTGGAGGAACTTATTTTCTTCATTTTTTGATATTTGTTTTGTGTTTATAAAAAAAGTTAATAGAAAATGATATAATATTTGTTGGAAAATGTTTTTTCAGTTAAGAAAGAGAAAAATATTTTATCTCTCACAAGTTGTCTTGCTCTTGAGTTACTTAACTCTCTCTTAATATATTTTAATAATTTTTTTTCCTCTATCTTTTTTTTATTTAAAATATATCAAATTAATTTTTAATTATTCCTTATCAATTATTTAATTATTTTTTCTCTCTATTTCTACTAATATTTGATTTATAGATACATTAAATATTCTTAAAAACTATTTTTACACTTTAAAATTATTTTTATAATAAATATTTTAATAACTTATCTCTATTTTTTTTACTATTATCTCAAACATCACCTAAACTATACTTAAATGATTGGAAATGATTATTACAAAACTATAATTTTTTGTAAAAAAATTGAAATTAATTAATTAATTAATAAATATATTATTTTTCTAATACTATTCATTTGCAATTAAATCAATAATTTGTAATTTTAATCAGTTGTAAAATTTTATTGGTAATTGTAGTGAATGCTTGGTTATAAATTATTTTAACATTAATCTTTTGAAAATAATTATCTACAAATGATAACTAATAATTTAAAAACTATTTTTTAGATTAAATTATCAGCTCAATTTTCAAAAAAAAAAAAATCTTAATTGGATTACTAAAATAACAATGCTATAATTATTTATATATATATATATATTTTTTCTAAATGTGAATATTGACTTGATTTTGTCCCAAGTAATTTTGATGAATTAGTTTGAAGGTTAAAAAAGTATATTTTATTTTTTGAATTAAAATTTTAAAGTCAGTATTTATGAAAATTTATTAAATTTTCTAAATGTATATTAGATTGTGAAATTGTGAATATGTTTTTTTGAAGTTTTCTCAAAACTTGTTGATATAATAATCACGTACTCGTTTTCATATTTTAATTTTTTGTATCAAACAAACGTTGGAATATATTTTTCAGTAGTTTTTTCATATAATTCCCAAATGACAAAAAATATTTTCTTAGAAAATAATTTTCTGAAAAATAGCTTCTTCAGGAATTAATTTTTTTATTGTTTTCCGCTAAACAAACGGAGCGCAAGGTAAATATAGTTATTAGATATTGTCAGATTGAAACAACATGGACTAGTTTATTAGTTTCATTAAACTATAGAGACTAAGTCATAGTTTGCTATTAATTATAAGATTACTCTTGCTTCCACACACTCTGCCTTGAAAAAATATATATATATATATTGAATTCTGCACATGAGCATTTTTAGAATTTCAGTCCTTACACATCAAATTCACTTCATCGTTGATTACTCATAGATGGTGAGGAAACTCATTGATCTAGATAATTTTTTTTTTTTAACTTCACAATTGGATAATCCGAAATGCAAAAGCAAGTAATATATTCAAAGACTATTTTGTTTCGACGAGGAAATTAAGCGGAGCAACTCCAAAATAATATATAATGTAGTTAGGCAGGCCAAAGCCAAGCTGAGGAATTTTACATACACGCATTTGATAAAAGCTTTGGAATAGTTTGGAGGGATCTTCTTGCAATTATAATTTAGATTTCTGCCTCAACTTGAAAACTCATCAAATTTAGTAAATTTTGAATCACATCCCTTATGTTTATCAAGATGGGACTAAGAAACAGAGGGAAAGCATTAAAGTAGTTCAAAATAATTGAAGACGAGAGAGAGAGAGAGCATTAAGAGAAGTGACATTTTGTTGCAAGTTGCAACATTGATTAAATGAAAAAGAATCACATCTAGAAATCAAGAAACATGGCGGGTTGTATAACTAAATAAACTGGCACCGAGTTTTACAACCGCAGTAGCCTGTAATTTACTCTCACTAAACCCGGTTTATCTATCAAAACGAACAATAGAACAGAACAAGAAGGAATTAATGCAGGGGAAAATGAAACTAAGACTACAACAACCAAATGGAACCCTTATGTTATCGAGCTTATGAATTTCAACAAACTGGTACATTTTTTTTTTGCTGATCTCAGCATAGAGGCAGATCTTCTGGAGGGGACTCAATGGATTGCAATACTCCAACTCCATTCTCTACCACGAAAGCCGTGGCAAGACCCCAGGTGATGTGAACATCCAAGTGGCAATGCATTAGCCATACACCTATTTATGCATAAAAAAAGGAAACGTTCAATTAAAATTGGAGTTGAAATGAAGCTAGAGTTTGACATTTTTGTATCAGAATTGCAGAGTAATTTTTATTTTTTATTTTTTTACCTGGATTGTCAGCGACGAATCTAACGACTGCCCATCCATTTGCAGGGACTGCAACTGTGTTTCTGAGAGGTGGATCGACAAGGTTAAATTTTGATGGATCTGTTCGGGGATTATAATTTCCAAACCCTTGTGCAATAATGTAAAAGTCGTATCCATGAAGATGAATTGGGTGGTTTTCTGGTGTGACAATGCTTGTGTCTTGTAACACAAGCTGCACTCTTGACCCATAATTCAATCTGTACAGCTTCGTCGCGGGAACAGGTGTAAAAAGGGACCGGCTCACATTACCAGTGTAATCAAATTTTCGTGGTGGATTTGCTGGGAAATCAGTGGTGAAAACTCCTTGTATGCGTTGTTGATGAGCTTGTAATAGAGAGTAGTTGGATGGTAGCACAAAAGACACATTGTTCATGCTTGCAGTGAAGCGTGTTCCATTAGGCCCTTGACACTGGCTAGACTTGTTAAAATTTGGTGGGCATGGATTCAGACCTAAACCAACTGTGAAGAATAAGTTCTCATCAATGGAAGTCGGGACAAGGGTTTTACCAGCACTTTTGAAGCTACCAGTGAAAGTAGTGACAGTGGCTGTGTCATTGTAGGCCGGTAATGTTGGCATGATTGGTTTGTTTGATGAACAATTTTTTGCAGCACAAGGAGAAGATTTGTATTCGAGAATGGCAGTAGTAGTAGTATTATCGAATGGTGCATTTTGTGCGCTTTGATAGGCACGTGCTGCCATGTAGTACCGTGAAGGTTTCTGGTCACCGGAGATCAAGACATCGGTGGTTTGGCCAGGTCCTAGCATTAGGACTGACGTGGTGAAGGGTTTGACATAGGATGCATCGGCACCAACAACAGTAAGCTTGTGGTTGGCAACAGTGAAGAAAAGGGGTTGATTCAGTGCAGCATTGATAACTCGGAGAAGATTGGTCTCGCCGGAGTCTATTGGCACAATTACAGTATCTGCAAAAGAAATTCATGTCAAGCAGGTTATTTTCTATGATGTTGATTTGCTTTCCAAAGCCAATAACCACTATCATCAGGAATTCAAGTTGGTGTAGAAGGATTCTGGCCCTGGGCCTTATTAGTGAACATCCAGCCCATAGGCTGTCCCGGTGGAACATGCGTTGACAATTTAATTGTCCAGCCAGCTTTTTTTTTTTTTTTTTTGGCTTTTCTCTATAATTTTCGGATCAACCCACCCCTTTCTTTCTACACCAATTTAACGAGAATGGTCAATAGTAATCAAAACCGAATTTATACAAACTATCTAGTTTATGACCTTTAAATTTAATGTACAACTTCGTGGGTGGATGCTTCGTGCTGGGGTGGGTCCATGTAACCATGCATGTTAGTGAAAAAAACATCATTACCATCACTAGGTTCTGTCCCAGGATCAAACAAAACTTTCGATTAGACATTTTAACCGCTGCATGCGATGATGGACTTTTGGTTTCCTCTCGAATTTTTCTTAGATTTTAATCATTTTATTTTAACTGATATAGGATGATAAATGGCCCATGAATAAATAAAATCTTGTAGCACTTTTCCTTTTCCTTTTTTATTTTGATAGAATACATGAGCTATATATATATATATATATATATGTTCTTTGGGGAAGAATATTTAAAAATACCTTGGCTAGAGCAGTTGTAAAGATCACCAGGTTGACCGTTGATGGTATATGCATCAGAAACATTTGGTGTGCCCCCCGTTCGAGCTGCTTCCCTCACAACGGCAATAGGATCCGCGTTCCACCATTCACCTGATAATTAATCACCGTTAACCATGATTAATATCCTTCTCATCTTAATTTTCATTAATTCACAAATCATTTTCACTTTCATTTAGGTAGTTAGGCTACCTATCTACCTGTGTATAATTGCTAGCTCATATACTTAATTAATTAGTCAAAGAGTTAAAAATTAATTTTGTCAAACAACGAATGGTTTGATTACCAAGAAGAATTGCTGTTTCGCGCTTCGGCTGCTTAGAGAATGGGTATGAATACCCTTCTTTTGGACGGATAATTAGAGCACCATAAACAGTGGCTCTAAGCCATGAGCTATGAGCATGCCACCACAGGGTACCCACTTGTCCTTGAATGGTAAACCTGTAGGTGTAACTCCCTCCTGGTCTAATTGGGCACTGGGTCACAAATTCTGGCCCATCTGCCCATCCCGTTCTCATTTGCCTAACACCATGCCTGTTGATAGAAATATAATTAAATGCGTGCCTCGCGAAACGCTAGGCAAGGCTAATTAATATACAATTGTTATTGTATTTACTGGTCAAGAAATACCATTATTAAAAGAAAAAGGGTTTACGTCATGTAGAAAAGCTGAAATACGAAAGAAGGCATTTAGTTACCAATGAATGGTGGCATTATATTGGGCTTTGTTGACAACGTTGACGACTAGAGTGTCTCCATCATTCACTTCTATTGTTGGTCCTGGGTACATCCCGTTAACCGTGATGGAATTCTGGGTCTTGCACAGCCTCTTCACTGGAGTTGCTTGAATCTGAACCATCATAACATAAATATTTTAGTTATGGTGATCTAATCAAGTAGAAGAAGAAATTAAGACAAAAGCTTGATGAAGGAAATTAAGGAGAAGAAATAAAAATACATACAACAAAATCATGGTTGTGAATTTTGGCATTTGCCGAGGACAATGCAGAAGCTAAGAGTAACAAAAGGCCTAAGAAGAACAAAGAGAAACGATGATTAATGGCAAAAATGTTGTTGAAAACCTCCATCTCTCAATCAAACCTTTGTCTTGATTGATGGTATTAGTTAAGTTGGCAATTTAGTGTGGAGAGTGGGAGAGAGGAAGCTCTGCTATTTATAAGAAAATTAGACGCGCAGATTTGTGTGATGCGGGCAGATTAGGTTTCGGTCAAGAGCCAAGTGGTGGGATTCCAGGCCCAAACTTGGTTCAACCTTATAGGAGTTAGTTAGCTTGGTGCACCCACTAGCCTATCCAAAAGCGTATAATTTCTTTTAATGCTTGTTGGATACGTCTTTCTTAGGTGCTAAAATTCAACACAGCATTAATACCGTAACGATTTTTTTGGAAATAAAATGGATTCTGTTCCTCTAATTCCTTAACTAAACGATTAAGTTCTTAGAAGGTTGAAATTTGGGGTTTTGCATGCGTTTCTTAATGTATAAATCACAAAACGAAGTCTCCAAGCTTAATTTTTATTATATGAGGAAAAAGCAACAGTCCAATGCAAGAACTTTATTTATTCTACGTCTATAGCAGTTTAATACAAGAAGAATAACAACAAATCACGTAATGGTTGGGCAACTTCTTTTTAATCCAAAAAATTCCAGGTCAGTTTCTTCTTAAATTTTCTTTGTTTTTAACTTTTTTTTTTTTTTTTTTTTTTTTTGACAAAGGTGATTACTAGTCCCTAATAAAAATTTAATTAATCCGTAATTGAGGGGGAAACTACCTACTTAATTGCTAAATTTACACCCAAGCTCAGGACCAAGTAACTTCGTTACGCGTAACATCACCACCTGCATGCAAAACACAAAAAGTCATTTTCATCAAACAGACATATATATATTTCTTAAGCAACGGGAGATAAATTGATGTGTCGAAGTGTTCGAGAAAAGGAAAGCGCATGCTGGCTGACATTTTACGTAGAATGGTCCAGGCAGAAATAGTTTATGAAGATCGAAACAGTAATTCTTGTAAAGAAAAGTTGTTTAGGGCCATTGCTCTTTCTTATTTTGTTTTCAGTTGATTCATGAGAAATGTTTCGGGACTTTATCTAATCTAATCAAGTGTTTGTTCCAAAAACACATGAGTCGGGGATCCAATTTTATGTTTTCTACGTATATGTTATAATGTGAATCCACACTTTCATTACTCTAGACAGCTAGGCTGATATCATTAGATCGATATCAATGTTAACCTCAATTAGTGTGTCTAGTAGTTAAATAAATTTATACTTTTCTTTTACTTTTTAAGTTCAAATACTTAAATCAACATATAAATAAATTTATTTTTATAAATATATCAATCAATTCGTAGAGTGCATTCTTAAAATTATTCAAAAATAAAATTTAATCTCGATCCATATATAATATGATACGAGAATGTATATTATTATTGAGCAAATTATTAAATTAAATTTGTATTGGTTTTGTAGTTCACTTCTTCTTTCACATGTCACGGCAAAATAAACGATGATAAGTAAAGTTTAATGGTCAATTTTATTGAAAATATATACAACATGATCATTATTACTCTCAATTTCTTGGAAACAAATGAGTAGCGAGAGGTCACCCGAATATTAGATAAATGAGTGCTTTGTCACCAACATGCTTAAAAGCACTTGTGCTAATTAGTGATGGAGTCAAAGATGCATGCATGATGATTGATCAAGTCGGATGGTTGAACACGGTGTAATGATGCAAGGGTTACACATAAGTCATTAGATTAGGTTAAATGTCCAGACCAAAACTGAAGATTCAATCGAGTTGGCTTCCCTGAAAGACTGTAAAAGTCCTCTTTAGTAGGTGGTGTTGATTTTATACTAGACTCTATGTGTTGGGTCTAACCAAAATTTTCTTTCTTAACAGCAGTCGGTTTGAAATTCTTAAAAAGAGATTTCGATTAATATTGGTATAAAAGGAATTAGGTAGCTTTTGATGGATATTATAAGTGACATAAAAGCAAACCAAGCAACCATATGGATTTCTATTTCTAATATTTACTCAATATATATTTCCTCTACATTTGTCAATGCATGTTTGATTAACCATTAATTCTTTAGTTTTATTTGGTTCTTGTTTATACCGTATTCTTTTTCCTTTTTCCTTTTTAACAGTAAATACAAACTTCAAACTTGGATTATATTGTAAATTAGTCCTTCTGTTTTCAAAAAGTAATCAATTAATCTATTTTATTTCAAAAATTAATCATTTAGTTTTTTAATCAATATTGACCACCTTAACTTAATATTACTTTATTTCAAAAAAAAATATTTTTTCTCATCAATCTTTTCATATTTTCTCTTTTTTTTTATTTTTTAAAATGAAAAATAAAATAAATTGAAAAAAAAAAAAAGAAGATTGAGTTACTATTCAAACATGGCATTGTTTTATCCAAAAATAAAATAAAAATAAAAATCTTAGTGTGGAAAATGGATGCTAGCTAACTGCCCATAAAATTTTTGACTTTTTTTGTCTTTGCGATTACTTTTGGACCTGATAGCATTTGTGAGTTCGCTTAATCAATGCCAAAATACCAAACTAATTTATTATTTTCAATATAGGAGCGACCACTTGTGTATAATCAAGTTAAAAACGTAGAAACTAAACTATCTACTTAATTAATAATATTCTTGTGATGGAGATATGTATCATCAAACCTATTTCTTGTACTTTATCATTTTTGTTATAATTAGATCGTAATTCATTTTGATTACGATTAACAAATTTGATAGTTTCACTGTTAATTGGTTTAACGTACTATTAATTGGTTGGTTTTATGTTTTTTCATTACAAATAAGGATATTTAAGAAACAAAAATGTCTAAAATGGTAATAGCACAACATCTTAATTAATATATAATGGTGGAGCACTCACAGTACATAGAAGATTGTATAAAAGCGATTAAGGAACGCGATCGAGGAGTTGGTGTTTTACAGAAGCAATAGACTATTTACAACTACTTTAAAGATATAGGTAATGAATTATATAATGTTCTAAAAAGTAAAGTACATTGAGAATAACAACTTTAATTTGTGAAAAAAAAAACTGTTATTTAGTTTTTTTAGATTAATGTATCCATCTATCTTTATATATTAGCCATATTCAACTGTATACTTTTTTAATGATTTTTAACTCTCACGTAATCTTATATATTCATATTTTTCCTCATATAATCTTTTTTCTATTTTTCAGATAAAAATGCTCCATAAAATGAAATTGTAATTTTCAAAAACATAAAAATTAAATTTAATAAAAAAACAAGAAACATGAAAACTTGAAACATCCTAAAAAAAATAAAATAACCTGTAAGAACTCAAAAAAACCATTGGTGACTGATGAAAACTTTTGAAAATTTCATGTTCTGTAAATTTATTTTGTTATCATAGATATATTTTTTTATTTACAAACCTTATGAACATGGCTTTTCCATTTTTTTGTCACATTTGACAAGTTAGTATTTATTATAAAAATAATCTTTAATTTTTTTCTAGTTTTTTAAATGCTAAATACAAAATAATTACACCAATTTTAACTTTTTTCAATCAAATGTATGGATTTTTTTTGTGAGTACATAAATTTTTCTTAAAACTAATCAAATAGTTTTATCAATTTTTTTTGTTAAGTGATGACGCATTTGTTACTCTCGGAATACCAAATTATATGTTTTTTCTCTTTTTTTCTCAATCAAGTACATTAATTTATTATTTTTATTTTTTTTAAATACATTGAATTTTTCAAAAATAAAAATCAAGTATTTTTATCAATTTCTTCATTAACTAATGAAGTGTCCGTTACCCTTAAAAAGTACAAATTTTTCCTCTTTTGTTGGAGGAAAATCTCCTCTCAAATTATTTTACCATTTCAAAATTTGAAAAAAAATTAAAAAGTATTTCTTTTTTTTTTTTGGTGTAAAATCCCGAACTAAACTCATTTGGTTTATGCATGAAAATTGAAGAAAAACACAAATGTTCTTCAATTTATTTTACCACTTCAAAATTTGACAAAGAATTAAAAAATATTATTTTTTTAAGCTATAAAATCCCAAACTAAACTCACATACGTTTAGAAGTGAAAATTTTTAAAATATAAATGTGAGATTTTTCATAAAAAGGATTCATTACTTGTGAGCATTTTGAAAAGAAAGGTTCTCTCCAATTAAAAGTTTTTGGATAAAATTATAATTTAGTATTTTAGAGATAATGAACATGTTATCAATTAACATAGAAATTGACAGAAGAACTTGATTGACGAGTTTGAAAAAAATTAATCTACTTAAACAGAAAAAATTAAAATTCATGTACTCGATTGTGTAAAAAGATGAAAAAAATTATAATTTAATATTTTGACAATAAAAAATATGTCATCAAATTAACAAAAAAAAAAAATGACGAAAGTATTTGAATAATAATTTTTAAAAAAGTTAGTATATGTAAATGAAAAAATAAAATTCATGTACTTGATTAAAAAAAAGTTAAAAATTGATGTATTTATAGTGCACTTATCTTGCTTTTTAAAATGTTTTTATGCTTTGATAGGCTTTTTTCTAAGTGTTTTTATGCTATTTATATATTTAAAAAATTAGGCTTTTCAAAATTATTTTTTAAAAATGATTATAGGACATTTTGATTTAAAAAGTTACAGAAAAAGCACATGGAAGGAAACTTCTTAAAAAAAAAAAAAAAAGATAATACACCCCATATGAGAAAGTAGATGGATCAATTAACCACTTTTTTTTTTTACATATCTGTGAGTTAATTTTTTTATTTAAAAATCTATAATTAGCTGCTAGTGAAAGGATTCTATTAATTAATTGTAATTCTCTTATATTAAAATCTGAAACACAATAAACGTAGATTGAAAAAAAAATCAATTATTATGATAGTTTTATATCTATTTTTATCTCCTAAGGTGTGAAAGATTAGACTTATCGTATTTATTTGCTAGCTAGGTACCTTCCTGCCCCTGTGATCCCAATACGCCGGTAGTTGAGATGTGAAACGACACGGAGAGTAAAATAAGGATTTAGGAAAGGAATGATACTCTCGTCACTCCTACACTAGGGATTATTACTTAGGTTCTCAGTGCCTTAGTGCCAAAGAGAATTATTAGGTGCCCAACACCTTTCAACAAAAGTGAGAAAATCCATTTAAAAAAAGACAAGAACAGGGAAAAGTGCGAAAATGATGAATATCCCGGAATTTGTGTTTGTCGGAAATCGGTGGGTGGAGATTATGGCCAGTCATCTAGAAGACCAATAATGATTTTCTATTTTTTCGTAAAAATGCATGACCATTTGTCACGTTAATTTAAAGAAGAGTTCCTTTTACTTTTCCTGTTTGTTTGGCCTATAAACTCGTTCGACCCGAGTTATAAGTCAGGATCATCACTATATTTAAGAGAAAAAAAATAATTTTCATAAAGTTATAATAAATTATCAATATTTACATGGTTCTAGGCTTCCAGCCAATAATCTGCAACAGGATATACAAGTTCTCGAACAATCAAATCAAGCCCAATAGAGCCTTACCCCGCACGGCTGCGATATAGCTGGTTCCAATATGAAACCACCTCAATGCACAAGGAAAAGGATGTGGAGTTCGTTGAGGTTGAGCCAACTGGCAATTGTTCATGTCTGCCGTGTAGAAATATTTAATTGCAAAAAAAAAAAAAAAAAAAAGAATTGACATTAGCAGTCAAAGTCTGCAAAGAAAACGTGACGATGGAAAACAAAATAATTAGTCTCTTCGAATGGAAGCATGCAGGGAGAAAAATGCTAAGAGATTGATCGAGATTGGATCGGTGAACCAGAATGAAAGATAAATTAATAAGTTGGTTGGTTTGTTATTGACTTTTTTATTTTATTTTGGAGAATCTTAAGGAGGAAAGGAAAGTACAAAAGGAGTCGTTGTGGACAGAAAACAGCTAAACATTAAAGAATTGATTGACGAGCAGAAAGGTCGATTGTCAAAGTTTTCTGGTGCATCGTCTGAATAAATTTTCGTTATTTCCATTTATTGTTTATTAATCATTTCCATATCGAGTTAGATCTTCTTCACGGGCTTTCATTTTCATTGGTAGTTATGGGTAGATGGGTTCGAATTTATAGTAATATGTTAGTGCCATTATTTCAAGAGGAGAGATACGTAGTCTACTCTTAAAATGCAAAATTATAGTAATTAACATAGTTTTCACATATCATCATCCATACATGAGTTTTAAGAAGCCTAGCCTGTGAATCATAAATACCTTTCCTCATCGCTTTTTTCTTCAAGATCCGTGTTTCCATTTATAAGACCATCGTCATGCCCCCAGCAATCAAGTGATGAAAGTGACGGAGTTAGAAATGTTTGTTAAAAGGGTAACTTATTATTATTATTATTATTATGGATAAGAAATAATAAAATCATGGAAAGCAATTGGTGTATATTTATTTGGAAATGAATAACATAACTGAAAAGTATAAGGACTGAAATGGAAAGTATGAAAAATTAAGGAGCAATTGCCCTCCTTAATACATAGGAAAGGCAATGGACTTGGTACAAAATGGGTGTCAGTTTTATCCGACCTAATAAATATCAATTAAAAACAATCAATGAATATTAAAATAAGTAAAGATATAAAAAATGCTTATCTATAAATATGATTTAAGAGTGTAGGTACTCACTTTTTACTCATTAATACTCATTAATTTATTTTGATTTTTTTAATTAACATATAGGAATGTAATTGCATAAAATTTAAAAATTAAAAATCAAAATATTTTTTTTCAAAACTTTAAAGACCAGAAAAACATAAATAAACAATAAACATTTTTTGAAAACTATAAGGACTAAAATGAATATATTTGATAAATTATTTTTAGTGGATATCAAATGAACCGATAAATTAATGAGTAGCCGAGTATGAATTGAGTAAAAATTTATATAATAATTTTTTAATGAATAACAGATGAAGTATTTTTATATAAATAGAATAAAAAAGTTGAATTAATGTTCGGGTGTTTTTACATTGTCATCCCTATTAGTGCATAGCTTCACCAATGAGCGATGATGAATTCACCAGCAAGAAAAGCAGGATTTGCAGTGCAACCACGATATATTAAGGATTACAGTTGACAAACAGCAGCTATTTGAGGCTTGAAAATTTCAATTATTACCTGTTTAATTTAAAAGAATAATAAACTAGGTTGCTTTCATGTTCTATCAACGAATTACTTAAACACAAGCTGTTGAGTCCAAGTCCATTGCTTACACTGCATCCTTCCCCTAGGTAATAGGCATCTGGATTGAGCTGTCTCAGGAAACCCCTAATCATAATTCTTTTGATTTTTAATGACATTCTGGGCTTGTAGCTTACTAAGGATTAGTATTGTCATTTCGAGACTTCAGGATGGAATTTTTGTCAAAAAAATGTACCTAGGCTTTCATTTTAAGTAATTTGTGCTTTACAAAGTAGTGACCTCAACGGAAACAAGCTACTTGTTTCAACATTAGTTGTTGGATGCAGTACTGTTCTGACTTCTTTTGAGTTCATCTGTTATCATCAACAATTGCACCATCATTTTAAGTTCCTCTCTTCTTGTACAATCCAAACAACTGGCTGAATGTTGTAGTCTTCCAGAAAGTGTCTGTAGCAATGCCTGAAGGTTAGGTGAAACTAAAGAAAATAGGGAAGGACATATGAGTTAAACAATCTCTGTAGCTTTAGGAAGCTGGGTTGCCTTTTTGACCTTGCTGATTGTTTTATTAGAAGATGAGCTCAGCAGCCTTGATAAAGAAGGGCCATGATGATAGTGAACTTATCATCTGAAAAATAAAGCATAATAAAGTAATTATTGAAAGCTTGCAAATTAGAAATTTTAATGGAGGTTTTTGGTATTAAACCTTATCCATACAAGTCGGTGATACAACTGATCAGAAAACTGTCCTGCTTTTCGGATCATCTGGAAGAACCCTACTTATTAAATCAAGAAAAACTAACCCAGCAAAGATATCCTCATATAAATCGGAAAAAACGTGTATTTACAGACGCTATTAATAACACTCAAGACCAAGACAGGAATGAAAGAATTGTAGTACTCTACACTATTAATATTAATAACACTCAAGACCAAGACAAGAATGAAAGAATTGTAGGACTCTACACTATTTTCTAAACTCTCTGGCCACCAAATAAGTAACCCCATTTCTGGAGTCCCTTCCTCAATCACTCGTTGAAGGAACCCCTGCACCATCATCTCCGGAGGGTCCGGGACTTGCAGCTGTCTCTGGTCTAATCTGTTCCAATTGCTGGAGGACCTGTTGAACTTCTGGTCGCGCTGACGGTGAGGGATCAACACAATGCAAAGCCAATTTCAATGTGTTAAGCAACTCATCTCCGATTATCGAGGCATCTTTCATCAATTCCAAGTCAAAAACTTCGTTAGTCCACTCTTCTTTGACAATAGAGGCAACCCATTGAGGCAAATCCACACCATTCATTGCCTCGCCAGGAGACTTCCCTGTAAGAAGTTCCAAAATAATCACTCCGAGGCTGTATACGTCTGTTTTTGTGTTTGCTTTCTTAAGCTTTGAAAGCTCTGGTGCTCGATAACCTAATGCACCTGCAGCTGCAATTACATTAGTGTTGGCGGCAGCTGTCATTAGCCGAGATAGGCCATAATCTGAAATTTTTGCATTTGTGTGCTCATCAAGAAGGACATTGCTTGATGTAAGGTTCCCATGTATGATATTCTCATTGTTGTGAAGATAGAACAGGCCGCGCGTCATGCCCTGAGCTATTTTCATCCTTGTTGGCCAATCAACTGGTGTATCGGGTCCTCTGGCTGCATAGCAAGTTAAAATGCAGCATATTAGTAGCTGAAGAGAACAGCTTGTAGAAATATAAAGCCGATTAAGAATTTGGAATTTTTCTTACCATGGAGGAATGTTGCCAGACTCCCTTTAGGTATGTAGTCGAAAACAAGAAGCTTCTCTCCTTTAGGTCCCAAATAATAAGCCCTCAATGCCAAAAGATTTGGGTGTCGGATTCTACCAAGGACATTAACCTCGCTTTCGAACTCTCTTTGGCTCTTGGTGATCTTTTCTCTTAATCTTTTCACTGCAACTTGATTCCCATCCTCTAATGTGGCCTTATAGACAGTCCCATAAGTGCTCTTTCCCATAATTTCAGCAGTTGCGCACAAAAGATCATCAGCTGTAAAAACCATTGGCCCTTCAAAATGGACTAGTTTGCCTCCAGCTTCTCCACCAGATTCAACTTCACCTGCCGCTGGAGGGACCCCCTTTTCGCCTCTTGCTGCTGCTGCCCTTGCTGTGGCTTGACCATTCTTTGCTTTTGATGCAGCCCTTTTCCTTATCAAGCAGCAAAGCAAAATGCAGCAAATTATAAGCAATACAATGAGAAGAGCTCCTGCTGCAATGAGAATTATGTCTTTGGTGCTCAGTTTACGATGATGTTTCTTTGGTTTCTCTGGTGGCGGAGCAGGGACACTTGGAGAAGGCGCTTGAGAAGGACATGGAGCTGCACCACTATATCCACATAGCTGAATATTCCCCACGAAAGAGCTTGAGTTGAACTTTTGGGACAGAGGAACAGGAACAGGACCTGAGAGATTATTGTAAGAAACATTGAATGACATAAGGTTATTTGGGTTGGCAAGGGAATCTGGAATTTCTCCACTGAACTTATTCTGTGACAAGTCAAGTTGTGTGAGTGTAGAAATGTTTCCTATTGTTGCAGGAATGTGACCAGTAAATTGGTTTCTCTTCAAGTTGAGGACAGAAAGATTACGCAATCTGCCAATGGCTTCTGGAATTTGGTTATCAAGGTTGTTGTTCTCAAGATTCAACAGAACAAGTGAGGATATATTAGAAAGGCTACCAGGCAAGCTTCCATTAATGGCATTATTGGAAAGATCAAGTGTTCTGAGCCTGGAAAGACCCCCTATTTCAACAGGTATGGCTCCATGTATTTGGTTGTGACTAACAGAAAACTCTTGGAGCTCACTCAACTTGCCCAAAGAAGCAGGTATGCTTCCAGAAAAGAAGTTACGACTAAGGGTTAAGTACTGAAGTGGAAGGAAATTACCCCTCTTTTGTGTTGAACCCCAAGAGTTTGGGATGGCACCAGAGAGGTTATTGTATTGAAGATCAAGAAAAATAAGCGAAGAAGAGCGTGTGAGATTAACTGGAATTAACCCCGAAAGGGCATTGTGGCTCAAATTGAGCCTAAAAAGCTTGGTAGAGTTTGCAAGACTATAGGGGATAGACCCGATGAGTAAATTATTGCTAAGGTCTAGAGTTTGAAGCAAAGGGCAAGAACCTAATGATGGTGGGATGGAACCTGACAGCCTGTTATTGAATAACTGAACACCTCTAAGATTAGGGAGAAACCCCAAAGCTTGGGGGATTGAGCCACCAATGACATTGTCATGGATGCTAAGCTTTCTTAGTTCTTGAAGTTGGCCGATTTTCTCAGTGATTCTGCCTCCTAGTCCTTTCCAAGGAAGCTGGATTACAATAACTTGGCCTTGAGCACACTTGATTCCAATCCAACCACCAGAACAAGCTCCATATCCACTATCATTCCAGCTTCTCAAGATGCCTTTGGGATCAACCAGCTCATGCTTGAAGGCTTGTAGTGCTTGAAAATCAGCTTGGGTGACAATCACACCATCCCAAACTTGGCTTAAAACTGGCTGTGAGGCAGAAATGAGCAGAAGCTGGAGGAGCAAGAAAATGTGGGTGTATGGAGAAAAGGTTTTTTGTAATTGTGATTGAATCTTCCATTTCTCCTTCTTCTTATTAGACATGCAGCATGAATCTGCTAGATGTTGGGAAGGGTACTTGTATAAACTATTGAATGATTCATTTGGATTCTCCATAAACCATCAATCAAGTAGCAAAAACGTGTCTAGAAATGACTACACAGGAAGAAAAAAGGAAGAAAGCAAAGATTACTCTGTTTTGCTTGTTTCAAGAAAAAAGAGAGTTGAGTTTATAAACATCACAATGTAGAAGTATAGAGCAATGAAATAAGAGCTAAAACACCTGTTAGTGGGTTTTGTAGGGTTGAACTGGTACTAGAGGTGGGGTTTCTGTCATGGACCACGTGAAGATCTTACTCACAGCTGATAGAAGGGGAGAGAGAAGGAATCTTTGTATTGGGGGAGAGAAATTTTGGAGACAAACTGTCAGGGGAGGCAATAAGTTGCAGAAAGAGAGGCTCTTCCTCGTAACTACACTAAAGTCTAACGGCTAGTTTTTTCTTAATCCATAGTTTCCCTATTCTCAATGAACATTTTTTTGACAAATCTTTTATTAATATGCATTCGTTCATGGATTATATGATCTGCTCTTTTATTGCCCTACCGCGCCCCTAACGGCTATCTTCTTTAATGGGTCCAATAAATCAAATGTAAACTATATCATGTATCCATAAAAACAATTCTACATATATATATATATATACACACACGCGCATATATATAAGGTGTAATCTGGTGTTTTGTTTGTTTTTCAATGAAAAGTTTACCGGTTTTTGGATTGATAAACCGAAGTGAGGAAGATGGATCTTTATAGGCGCTAGCTAATTAAGCTAGGCAACTTCATGATACTGTAGTAAGAATTAAAGGAGAATAATGATTTAATAATGCTTCTAATGTGTAGACGGAGACCTAGCAGACATCTTATTTCTTATACCTGATTCATCTTTTGAAGCCAAGACCTTCCTTTTAAATATTCCAATAGTGTGTTCTTTGTACTACAAATTGAGATTGAATGGCCGCTTTTAAAAAGGGTTTGGGGCTATAAGATCGGCTTGACGACATGGCATAATGGGATTTGCTTTCAAAAGACTTCAATTAGTTAGTTAGTTAGTGATACGAGGTTAAAACGATGACATGTCTTTGTCTCGTGTATGAATCCAGAATTCCTGACAAAAAGTGGGGTTAATTTCGTTCTTTTAGAAATATTTTTAGATTTGCATGGATCTAGAAGAGAAAAGGACACACACGAGAGGTCACCTTTAGCATTTATTAATCGATTAAACTCGCGTTGGAAAGGTTAGTCTTTATAACCTGGAAACAGTCATCATCATCGTACTGTTAATATGGGGTGGTCCAGATGGGAGATCTACTGTGGTTTTCGAAGTACCATTGCATCATATGAACAGTTGTGCACAGAGGATCAACCAGAAAGGGCGGTGGTCCAAACTTCAAAGGGAAGAATCCTCCGTCATCTTCAATGGACTTTTAGACCTCATATACTGTATGTGGTAACACAGCCCATCGTTATTTTGATTGTCTGCAAAATATCCATAGCCCAATTTTACAAGGGGTTTTCTCCTGTTGATGGGCAGAAAAATATTTGGCCCAACAAATAGGAACAGCAACCTTTCATGAAACGACTCGATTTTACCATTATGTTTTAGAGGTTCTCTCTAATCTTCCCTACAAACTTAACTGCATCCTGTTTACAGTCAATATCTAATAAATATTTTTATCATGGTGCCTAATCCAAGTAAACAAAAATCATGCATATAAATGACACATGATCCTTAAGTAACATAGTGATGAAGCTGTCATTTTCGCGGTAGCAGTGAACAATAGTAAAAATAGAAGAGAACTGGTTTGGTTGAGGTGAAAATTTAGATCTATAAAAGAGATGGACTTTTATATGGTTTGTAGCCATTTAAATGGTGGTAGTTTGTGATAATGTTTTATAGTCAGATCCTAAAGTTTAGGCTAGCAGTACTGTTTTTATTTTTATTTTCAATTCACGTGATGCATTTAAAAAAAAAATCTATGATTATCTACTTATTACTCGTAAAAATTTCATGTGCTATGCAAATGATTTACGATGTTTTTTTTAAAAAAAATAAATGAAATAGTAAAATATATAATAAATTATTTAATAAGGTTAGATTATAATATATATTTTTATAATTTTAAAATAATAGTGATTTGAGGATCCATATATTGAGAAATTATTAGACATACCAAGAGTTGTACTCTTTTTTCTCACAAAAAATATGGAAGTAGCAATGAAAATTCTCTCTCTATAGAGCAACTCCTACTAGTTACTAAGGATGACAATTTGACGCGCTCCAGCGGAGCCTCGTCCCGCCCCATCCCATTTGGGGCGGTGATGGTACCTAAAATACGTCTCGAACGAAACACGAAGCAAGGGCGGAGATAATCATCCCCACCCACTCCACTTTTTTACCTTTTAAAAAGATAATTTGACTAGGCTCCGCTCCATTTAGAGCGAAGATGGTAGAGAAATTGTGCCTCGAATGGAGCACGGGGGCGGGGACGAGGACGCCATCCCTATTAGTTATTTTAGTATTATAAAATTTACCCATTTAAACATGCTAAAACAATAGATTTCTCATTGAAATAATTTGAAAATATTTAATTTGCAAATTATTCCTTCTTAGATGTAGATAAATTAAAATAATTTTAATGATGGGTATAACGAGAATACATCAGAATTCATTTTTTTTTTTATCATCCCAAAAATTTTAACTTTCAAAAACTGATCATATATATAGTTTCGGAAGGCAACTCTTTAAGCATGAAAAATTAAACTGTATCCCTTTTTTTTATTTTTATTTTTTCATCGAAAGACAATTTTAATCTAGAAATCCCAAAAGCCTCAATGAAAAGGCTTGAAGCCCAATACAAATTTGGAGACTTCCATAAGTGAAGCCCAAAAGGAGCCATTTCAACTGCATGTGAATGATTAACGATAAATAACACCATATAAATTTTAGAGTACTACTACTAATAGTTACTTCATAAAATATAGACATAAGGAAAAAAAAAAAAACATTAGACAGAGTTTTAAAAATTTATTTTCAACATAAATAAAAATATTTTTATTATTTTTAATAGATTCAAATGTAATTTATCTATGTCCCTTTTCAAAATAAGGAGAAACCAGAAAGATTTAGATTATTCTGAATTTTTTCAACACGGTGAACTTTTTATCCACTAAGTGCATCATCAATAGAAATATCAAATCCAATGGCACCGACAAACAGCCCGTTAACTTCTGTTACCGATCCAGCGATACATTCAATAATTTCCCTTCTAGTCTCTAATTCGTCTCTCTCTCTCTCCATTCTCCAATACTATTACTCTTCTGGGTCTATACCACACTCTCTCTCTTGAAATAGAGATCGCATTTTTCTAAACTTACCTCCACTAGTCTCACGCGCCACCAAAATGTCCTCTCCTACTATCCCACTCTCAAATCCCCAAACGCAGCCCCCAATAGCAACTCCCGCTTTCCGCGCGTTCCTCTCACGTCTCTCCACCTCCGTCAGCCAAGGTTTCTCTCAACGCCGCCCATGGTACGAACTTATAGACCGAAACTCTATGGCCCGACCCGACTCCCTCTCCGAAGCCGCAACCCGCATCAGAAAAAATCTCCCTTATTTCAAAGTCAATTACATTACCTTACTCGTACTTATACTCGCCTTTTCTCTTCTTTCTCACCCTTTCTCTCTCCTCGTCCTTCTATCCCTCCTTGCCTCTTGGATCTTCCTCTATCTCTTTCGACCGTCAGATCAGCCTTTGGTTATTCTCGGCCGTTCATTCTCGGACCGTGAGACGCTGGGGATTCTTGTCGTTTTGACGATTGTTGTTATTTTCTTGACAAGTGTAGGATCACTCTTGATCTCTGCTTTGATGGTTGGGTTTGCCCTTGTTTGTGCTCACGGTGCATTTAGGGTTCCTGAGGACTTGTTCCTTGATGATCAAGTGCCTGCTAATGCTGGATTATTGTCCTTCCTTGGTGGCGCCGCCTCCTCCGCCGCTGCTGTAGCTGCTCCCGCTGTTGCTGCCCGTGTTTGATGGTGATTGAACGACAAGTTTCCGGTCTGGTTTCTGTTTTAGATTAGCGTTGAAAAGATTCAATGGTATCACAATTGCAAAAGATTTGATTAGGATTTTGTAGATTGAATGAATTGAAAATTTGACGCAGCAAAAGATCTTTAAAGGAATTGATTTTGTATAGTTTTGATCCTCTTAATGATGTTTTGGATATTATCAAGCACATGCTTGTTGTTTCTAATTTTAGATTCTTTGTTCGTTTTTTGTGTGTATTATTGTCGATTAATCATGACTGAATATCTAAGTATTATTTTATTTTGAAAAAAAAATAGTAATTTTAAGTTACAAGTATTGATTGATATACGCAATCTTGAAATTAATTAATTGTTTGGGTGAAGTATTTCTGATTATAAATAGAAACTTTGCATTTCTTTTCTTTTTATTTTATGTATCTAATTGTGAGACTTTGCTTTGAAAGTGGACTGTATATGAGATGGAGAAACAAGGAAAGGTGAAGTTTGTGAGCTAGAGTGATTGCAAGGTTTGCCAAGTTGTGATAATAAGTGTTACCGGATGAGATGAATTGTTAAGTATTTAGGAAGGAAGTGAACTTGGGTAGGGTTCTTGATAAATTTGGTAAAAATTTGTTGTTGCAAGTTATTTGATTAACTTAGGTGGTTGTGCAGAAGATAGATTAGAATGCTACTTGCTTTAAAGTGGAAAACCTGATGTGATTGAGAGCTTAAAGGAGCTTTGATAATACAGTGCAAATTATGGTACTTGCTTGTTCTTAGTTCTTTGCTATATTTTGTCGTTGCAGTATCTGTTAGCCACTGCTGTAATAGTATCGCTGTGCAACTAAAAAGACAAGAAAGAACTTGCTTCTAATGTAGGAAAAGAAAAGGGCTAAGAAACTTTAACAGTATCCGTGTAATCTGTGTTGTGGTTTCCTGGGTTCTTCAGCTGAATCTGTAGCATTAAACCTGACTAATGCTAAGAGTACTAGTGTACTACAGCTTTTGACACCGTTGAGAGTCGAGAGCAAAAAGCTGACCAATTTGAAACATCATCCTCAAAATCCCTTGCTTTCTGATCCAATTGACTGGCTTTTCCATGATGTCAATGAAAAAACGTATTGCCACCTTTTTTTCTTAGTACAAAAAGGAGGCAGCAAGTTCAGAAAACTAAAGAATGCAAGCTCTAAAATAACCCCCCTCCACGCATGTTAGCCAGTAGGACATCCTTCAAATCTCCTGGAGGCCCTGAGTACTGGTTTGCTAACCAATAAGCATGGTTGATTTTGACTCGAATAAGCTTGATGCTCTGAGCCAGATTCGCATTGGCGTCGTCTCTAGCTCTGGCTCTGACTCTGACTCTGACTTCATTAGTGAGCAACTGAAAGATCACTTTGGGAGTCCACCTCTAAAATGATCCTTTTGTTTTGTGTTCCCCCAACCAAACCAAGTTTAGCACAACCTTAACTCCTCATAATTCTGCCCTCACAGCTGAACCACCCCCTAGCTTGTTCGCAAACCCAGCAATAAATCTTCCCATACAGTCACGAACGAGCCCCCTGCACCAGCCTATCCGGGATAGATTTCCACCTCTTCAATCAATAACAACAAGCTTCATAAAAGAACCGACTTACTTTTGATCATTGGATATATTTTGAAGACGGAAAAAATCCGTTGGATTGGATTAACAGTTGACACCCGTCATTCCCCAGGTGCAATGTTATTCGGACTTAAGATTCTCCAACTCTCCGACGCAATCGGTGCAAATATTGTTTATTGAAGAAAACTTTTCTTTTTTAATTGAGTTTATAAAAAAAGCCTCCTAAGCTCTTGAGGATTCAAACCTAAGGTAAAACTTTCATAAAGTTTAATAAGTTCAACGTGAATTGGCTTGTGTCTAATGGGAGTAGAGTGGTGAATTTAGTTCTAATATACAAAAAGGAACTTAGATGTATCACCTAGCTGTAGATCTAAAATTACCGAATAGAAAAAAATTTTGTTTGCAGGAAGAGCTTGTCCGAATAAATCTAAACCATAAGAATTAACTCCTTTCTCGTTCTTTCTTTCTCCCTAGGAAAGAAAAATAAAGTTGATTCTTTCTTAGGCCTTCTATCTTCGAAGAACAGAAAATGCAATGAACTCCACTTAATCCCTCCAGCATAAACCAATTTACTAGCATGTTGACATGTTGGACGGTGGCAACTGGCAACCTGATGGTTCATTAACGAATTAGAGATACGTTCTAGAGAGACGTATTCTAACAATGTAAGAATGATTTCAGCAATAAAACTGCAATTAAATATCTAACCCATCCATGCAAGTTTTATTGATGAGACGACATTGTCACATCTCAATGGTTTTTCGTAGAATTATAAGATTTTAAATTTTACTGACTCTTTTGATATCTGATTTAAACGTGTCGTATAATTGATTAGTGACTACATAGATGTTAAAATCAGACAATATTTCTCTGGTTATGTACGTACAGCTTTTGAGTTCTCAAGAACCAAATCTAATTACAAGCAGCAGCGGTATATATATATATATATGTATATGTATATGTATAGGAACTCTACAAAATCCACTTGATGGAAAAAAGGCCAAAATTATTGAATATCAGTGAATTTATTTGCCTCACATTTGTATTCATGCACGGGCTTCTGATGGAAAATGATAATGCTAACATTGGCACACACATAAGGCACCGGTACGGGCCAATTCTATCACCAATTTCCTGGGCGACATTACTAAAATCTAACGGTGGAAGGATGAACTTGAATAATATTAAACCTTAGGAACTGAATAAAAAATAAAATATACGGCGGGGGATTAATTTGTATAATCGTTTTGCGTTTTAATTGGGTGGAGAAACTGAGGAGGGTGGGCGGACACTACAAAGGAAGCGTTCCATATCTGTATCGAACCGTGCAGCTAAGCTAACTGAACTAACATTTTTGTAAAGCTCCTCCACCTTCAATAATAAAAACTCATTCCTCTCTTCTCTTCATATTACACGCGACTAACTCAAATTCTTCATCTCTTCACCAATGGAATCCTCTGTTCTTCTTCGATCCTTTCAATGTAACTCTCTCTCCTTGCATTTGTGTATTTTGTTGGTTAATTTGCCGATAATTTGCTCCTTTTTATATTTTCTCCGTAATTAGATTCAAATCAGGTTGCAACTAGTGAGATCTATAATAATTTTTTGTTTATTTGTTTATGTTTATGAAGCTAAAATTAAAAAAAGGAGAGAGAGGTTTGATATTTCAGGATGTTTGGCTCGAAATCTCTTCAGTTTACTAATTATCTGGCTGTTTTTCACCTATAATCATTCAATCCTTGAAATTCCTACCGCAGGTAGCATGTACAGTCAAGGCTTGACTGCTGGCCGGAAGCTGATATCTTATCCAGTAAAGAAAAATCCGAGACTAGTATCCTGTGTGAAAACATCTGAAGCTCCTGCAGTAGCCAAGAATGATGGTTAGTTAAGTATATTTTTGTTCAACTGATATGTATATGTATTATTTAAGTACTTTTTATGGCTTGGCATTTAAAATTTTCTGCAACTGATGAGGAATGTTTGTTAGATTCCAATAAACAAGGGTCAGTGGAGAAGAATTCTCAGCGAAATGCATTTTTTCCGAGTGGATTTGAAGTGAGTGTTTCTCTTTCAAGGTTTAATTGCTTTCCTATTTTGTTGCTATGAACTTGCGAATCTATAGTATATTTAATGGATTCTTATGCATAACTTTGCTGCTTTCAATTACTTTATGTTGTTCTGATGGTGATTTTTAACGGCTGGTAATTGTATCCTAAATAAACGTGGGTTGATTCGATTCTTCACAGCGTCAGAGATAAAATTGTAGTTTATTTGGTTGCCCTTGTATTGAGAAAGGTTGAATAATAGTTTTTAATCCTCCCTCGTTATGGGAGAAGTTGAGATTTAGGAGACATAGTAACTAAAAACTAGAGATCAAGTAAGCTCTGTCTCCGTGGTTAGAAATTTATGTAGTTAATGCACCAAACATCTTGAAAATCCACTTGCCTCTTGCAAAATGTTGAATTTGACGTTGGATATTTGGATAAGGACTTCCAACTTGAAAAAGGGACGAGATGCATGATTATGGATTGCATATAAACTTGCTAAGGTCATTATGGACATTGTCCTGATATTAACTAATTCTTCCCTGAATCATGAAATAACAACTAGTATTAGTCGTGCTGAGTATTTGCCCTACCAGGCAAATAAAGGTTTCAGATTTGATAATTGCACTACATTGACTTTGTGATTCTGGGGGGTTTGGCAAATCTATATCTACTTCTTAGCTTAATTCTTGACAGAAATGCTGATGACTATTGTTTTCTTGAGAAGGCATGATTTGACGTCTCATTTTGGTTTATTTGGCGTTGATAATGAATATTTCATTTTGATCTATATCATTTGCATTCTGATATGAATCTTCCTTGTTCGTATCATCAAAGGCATTGGTACTGGAGGTCTGTGACGAGACAGAGGTTGCTGAGCTGAAACTGAAGGTGAACTCCTGATCCATAATGTGTTTTTTATGGTCTCTCATGGAATGCTATTCTTGTTGCTCACCCACATCCTTAGAAATGCCTCTAATTGTTAAAAATAAGGTTTTAACACCTCAGGGGAAGTAAATATAGTAGTGACACAAGCTTTCATGTCTGCAATTTCCTTGAATCTTTGCCATTTGGAGGCTTTTAGCTTTATGGATACATAATGACTGGTTATTGGCTGTTTGTGATAGGTTGGGGACTTTGAAATGCATCTGAAGCGGAATGTTGGGGCTGCAAAAGCTCCCTTGACATCATCAACACCAGCACCACCTATTCCAACTCCACCAATGGAGGTATCAGCAACTGTTTCTACAGCACCAGCACCGTCGCCATCTAAATCCTCTGTCGAGAAATCCACTCCCTTTACAAATGTCTCCTTTGGGAAGTCATCTAAGCTGGCAGCGTTAGAGGCTTCTGGAGCTAGTGGATATGTTCTAGTTGCTTCTCCAACTGTAAGTAATATTACCAGATAGCAAAAGGCCAATTTCCTCTTTACTCATGAACAAAGCACTCAAGGTGACACATGCTATCAATTTTTTTTGCTAGGTTGGTTCATTCCGAAGGAACAGAACAGTAAAAGGAAAGAAGCAGCCACCTATCTGTAAAGAGGTACATGTGGCACACTACTTTTCTTTGTCAGATATTTTGTATTTGTTGAATTATCAAATTTTTTTGCCCACCAACTCTATTTTTGAAAATTTGTCAACTAAACAATCTATATTCAATTTCCCTAATTTCATTTATTTCAGCAATGTGTTACTTGCCAGATAAGTATTAGTTTTTATCTGCTAGCATGTCATTGCGAGAGGTAACGGTTGAGGGCCATATTAGTTTATGTTTTGTATTTATGGTTTATCATTTTCCATCATCATGGCATACCTCTTTCCATTTCATCTTGTTATTGCGGCCTTTATTAGATTCATGAAACGGAAACCAAAAGGAAAAAAAGAAAAATCATCTAGCATATAGTAAATAGAAGTTATTTGATTATAGATAGTTCCATGGTGATGAGGATCGTTTAAGCTTGGTGGATTCACAGTAAATGTGGAAGCAATTGTTGGTTACTGTTTGACTGCACATAAGCAACTTTACTTATGCTCTGCTCATCTATTAAAGAAGAATAGTCGCGTTGATGAGATTAGCACTTGCAGATAACTTGCATTTGCTAGGAATTCTGTAAGATCTAAATTCGGAGATATCAAATTCAAAATGCACATGATCAAGATAATTTTCTACCATCAAAACTGTGGCCTGGCATGCTCTGATGCTTCCTTTTGCTCTATGCTGATCATCTTTACCATCCATTGTAGGAATAATTTTGTTAAAAGATATCTTTGAGCCTCATTATCATGGCACCTCAATATCATGGCATTCATTAATCACATCCACTCTAGATGTCTATGTTGCATTAATTTAAAATAATCCAAATGTTGAAATTAATTTTGCGTGATACCTTCATGTCTTCTATTGCCCCTTCTTAATTCTAAACATTTTAAACCCAAATTTACAGGGTGATGTGATTAAAGAAGGACAAGTGATAGGATATTTAGATCAATTTGGTACTGAACTTCCTGTGAAGGTGAGTCTTCTATTTTGGTATATTCAGACCTGAGTTCGATTTGATTATTGATTTGTCTTATGCTATTGTTGATGATTGAACAGTCTGATGTGGCCGGAGAAGTATTGAAGCTCCTTTTTGATGATGGAGGTATCAACTATTTTATTGTCACTTGTAGATTTTTAGCATCTGAATTTTTTGAATAACTTGCAATTCAACTATAGAGATGAAGAACATACAGGCGTCAACAAGAGTGCATGCGGAGAGATATGCCTAGGGAAAAAGGGGAATAAAGTAGCATAGCATCTTAAATTCTATAATACACTTCTAACATAAATATCGATCTAGTTTTTCTGATGATTTTATGCATATTTTGTGAGTGATATGTGATTAAATGGAAGTTATAGGTTTGTCATACAGAGTTTAAGCATTTTCCTCCAAGGCTCGAACATGTGAATATACCTTTTAGTTATTAGGGAAAATGTGAAAGGAAAGGGTCCACTTAATTATCAGGATAGATAGGTGTCTTGCTGTCTATAAGTAATGGTGCAGTTTGGTCCTGGAACACATTGGTCAAGCAAAGTTTTACTGACTAAACTCCACTCTTCCTTTTCTTTTAATGGTGGTGCTGATATGTGAGGACCTCGCTTTTTGACTTCTGAAGCAACATAGTGCTTTTTGGTGGGGATTGGACCAGTTGCTTCTATTTGGTCCCTGAGCTTATTATCTGGTGGTTAATTACGCTTGGCGATGACAGTTGAGAACAAGGTCCCTGATCAATAAAAATCTTGTTTTGAAAAATTACTTGACATTGCATAAGAATATAAAGTTGTGGGATATAAAAAGTCACGAAAATCTTGAAACTGTGTTGAGGCATTGATGTTGGTGAAACATAAACAACTTCAGTTACTGGATTGATATTATTATCTGGCTGTGAATATATTTATCTTATCTTTTTATCTTTTTTTTTTTTTTTGAGAAACTGATTATCTTATTTTCTGTATAATACAGATGCAGTTGGGTATGGAGACCCTCTTATTGCTGTCTTGCCATCATTTCATGGTATCAACAAGTGACCATACCGTCTCCAGTAACCTTGATGCAACTCTTGGGAAGCTCTGAAGGGTTGCATATTATTTTCGCTATTTCTTTGGGTCATTCCATCTTGTGCTGGCAATAAAGACACAAGTTTTGTTGGTAATGTACTTGGTTTTTTCGGTCAGTTAAATTGATATAGGAATAATTGGTTGAGCATTCTAGGTTGTTAAGAGGATTGTTTGTGTATTAGATAGTTCTTTGTATTCTAGTTAAGTAATATATGCCTGTTGTTTGTCGTGTATTGATGTAACACCTTTGGAGCATTTCCCACAAAATTTTCAGCAACATATTGTTGTTGCTCTGTTTTAAATGTCAGCCCCTTCGATTTGATGAGAATTTCTCCCCAAGCAATTTATCATCTTGTGTATTAAGCTCTACATGCCCTTGCAGAGGCAAAATGTGTTAAATATTAGATCCTTACATATTCTAGTCATGAATTAACAGGTGCAATGTTTTTGTCATTTCTCATCAAATAGCCCTTGCTAACTAATTAATTGCAGACACCAAACAGTAATTATTCAAATCCCAATGTAGCGAATATAGGGATGCTAAAGACTTATCCATGACGTATAATTTGGTCAAAATGGAATTGATAGAGCATTAAAATTAGTGAGGCTTGAACCCAAGACATAGGAAAAATGGACAAGTAGATGACTCCAAGTACCAACTGAGTCGGAGCTCTTTGGCAGCTCTGAAAAACTTATAGTCGAAGTTTTGCGCGCAAAAGGGCAAGAAAGCATGATAAGGAAGCTTAGATATTGTTTTGGTTTAATTTTTTGCCATTTAGGACTTTTTTAGTATTTCTGAATTTCCCTATAAAGCAAAGAAAAATACTATGAGAATTAAAAAGAAGAAGTAAATTACAATAATCCTAAGGATGAAATTTTATGGATCATTTTGATTGAATCTCTTTGATTTTTTTTTTTATTTCAACTCCTGAACTACAGAATATTTTGATTGTCACTCATTTTTTTGTTAAATATTATGTGACTCGTACATGTTTCCTTGCAAAATGTGAAAATATCATAAAAATTTGATAAAACATTAAAAAATCAATCTCCACAAATATTATGGTAAAAATATCTATGAAAAAAATTATCAACAAGAAATAAACTCTCATCTGTGTTATGATCTTGTTTCTGACAAAAAAAAGTACACTTTGGATGGAATTGATATAAATATTTATTCGAAAGTCAAATTAAGAATACCTATTTAGTTGGACTACATTTTTTAGATTTGTCAAATTTTACTAGAACACTTTTGTGATTTTTCTTAAAGGGTGGTGTAATTGACACAATGGCCACATCCATTGTGTCAATTGTCACAACATTTCTACTCCAAATGACAAATTGTCTTTAAAATATTATTTTTGCTATAATGCCATCGCGGTTAAGTCAATGTTAGTGAATGTATATTGTCATCTTCTGGATCTTCCTTCCTATTCGTTAAATCTATCACGGTAACGCATCTAGAGTAATCGCATTACCAACCCAAAAGAAGGCGAATTGTATGATTCGTTCTTGTATTTTTTATTCAACTTTTTTGTTTTTTTATTGTATTTTTTATTATAATTCCTTCGATGGTATTTGGCTAATTTTTTGAACGAAAGTGATGGATAAACTGACACGTAGTAAAAATTTTAAGAAATAAAATAATTAAAAAAATTAGCTAAAAAGAGATTGAAAAAAATATATATTAGTATAAAAACACACAAACTATTCTCTCTTCTCTATTTCGATATTTTTTCTATATATTAGTTTAATGGAACATGTCAGTCCACCTACTACATTTGTCTAGAAAATTGAATGAAAATCTGTGAAAAAGTCATATTAAAAAAAATTAGAGAATAAAAAAATCCAATAACATAAAAAATAGAAAAACCATATTAAGAAAATCTAAAAAATAAAGAATGAATCATGTAATTAATCCAAAAAAATAACAAACAAAAAACCTCCCAACTTCGCCCGCGCTCCTCTCGTCTAAATGAAACAAAAGAAACCGGCTATCCAACTTCTTTCTTCTTTCTTCTTTTGATGATTCCATTTCCCACTTCATCAAATGTGTAATTTCTGAAATACCCTTCTCCGTATTACAAAAAATAAATAATTTATGGAAGAAAATTGGATACACCAATATGACACGGAAAGAAATATGTCTTGTTCTTGTTCTTCTTTTTTTTTTAACCAATTTCGTGACCTGTAGCTGAGCAGCATTTCTACACTCCAAAACGAACTTTATTATTTTTATACAATAACTTCGTAAAAAAATTAAACGTTGCATAACTTGCTCGTGTTGGGGGTACGAGCTTCTACCAAATTGTTTGGAGTGCAGATGTTTAAATATTACTACAAAGGGCCCGAGACCCTTTCCATGAATATCAGAGATGATGATTAATTTTAACTTCAACAGCATCCCTAAAATGACCTGATCATGATAATCTTGTTGGCTTTGAGGTCATAGTTTCGCATACAGAATGACTAGCCAAGGTCTCGCTATCATCCCACCCAAACACCATTATGCGCATATGTCTCGATGATTTAACTTGGACGAAAAAATGCTTTCTATCTACTAAAAAAAAATGTATTTATTGAAAGCATACAGGTATTTATTTAAAATATACTTCCAAAACTATCTTTATTCAATCATACCAATCATAAATATACACAACCATCACATAGAAGATCATCATTAGAAAAATATTTGTCCTCAAGTTGATATGAGGGATTATTGGCAACAAAAGAATATATCATTCTACTTTTTTTCTCGTGTAATTTCACATATTAGGTGTTTATATAAGAACTCTAAAAAACAAGAGTTTCAGATTTCAATCATGCTCTCTTTAAATGATATTTACTATTTATTATATTCTTCATACTTATAAATATATATTATAATTTATTTAGACATATTTTTTTCCATACATTTATTTCATCGGAAAAGAATTCCTCAATTCATTAGAAAGACTTGTCTTATAAGTTTTGAATAGAAAGAATTATCATCCATTGTCGATCTTTTTAGTTCATCTCATTCATAAAAAAAACTACGTAATCATCAATTACTATCTAAATTTTATTGACTAAGCAGCATCATCCTTTTATGGCTTTTATTAACCCTTTTCAATTTTGCAATGTTCGTAAATTCAAATGGTTTTTCGTCATATCATTACGCTACATTGCGCAGCCAACTATGGTTTCTTAATTATTTAGAAGCGAGAATTTCTAGTGAATGGTAAAAGTATTATTAGTATGTGAAGGCCTTTTGCTGGATTTGGTGGGATTTAAATTCACTCAACTCTCAACTTTTTTTTCCCTCTCAACAGTGGTGTCTGAGATGGGATAAGATAATTGCTTACATGACTTGTTAGGCAACCAACCCCTTTTGGTGAGATGAGACCAGATCGGAGGACAAGTCACTAGTTAATTTGAACATTGTGGTACTTGTTGAGAAGAAGGATTATATTGTAATATTAACAGAGTTAGGGTCAAAGTAAAGAGAGTGTAAAATTTAGAGACTGTCATACCAGGAAATGAAGCAAAATTCCATCTCTAAAGAATATTCCTAGGTCACCACTGATTCAGTGCCTATATATTCTCTGGCTGATAATATTCAAGGAAGAAGGGATCCTTGTCAAACGAAAATATTGTTTTCAGAAGATAAAGTACAACCTGAATGTCGTTTGACAAGGAATGTCGTGGGAAGCTCGAAACGCTGCCGATTGTCTTCCCTGTGGTTTTTAGTCTTTCTACTTTGAGATCAATTAAAATTGACTTAAAAGTGTAGAAATAATTGTTAAAGCATTCTGTTTCAAAATCACCTTGGTTAAGTTATTTTCTAATTATTCATGATTTCCAGTCACCAAGTTAGTAATCGACCCTAATTTTCTAACACTTGTCGTGTATGAACTATTTAAAAAATATATATGCATTAAAAAACAAAAAACAAAGAAACTAATTAATCTTTTTTAAAATTTTTTATCTTTTTTAATTATTAATAAAAATTAAAGAAAACGAAGAAAGATAATGAATAACTGTCATGTCATGGAGAAATTCAAAGGATTGAAATTATCCTATAAAAAAAAAAACAAAGAAGAAGCAGAATCTTATATGTAAAGAATTAAAAATATATCTTTGTTATGAGAAAATAATCTCACAGATGGACAAGCAAACCCCTTTTTGACTGCTTGAATTTTCTTGGCCCCGGATGGAAGTGAATGCGTTAAAAATCAAAGGGTTAGCTTGCTTGTCCAACTGTGAGCATTTAGGAGGAAAAAGAGCAGCCAAAAAGGACTCCGACTATATTTGTTTTGCTCAGGACACAGGCAGTGTCTTCACGCTCCTTTGTGTGCCGGGAGAAAAACTGGAGCTGCCTTCTTGTACATCATTGACAAGATAACAGATTGTTTCACTGGGTGGAAAGGGAAGGTTCTTACTCATGCTTGGAGGGCCAACTCTTGTGCGAAACACCAGTATGATGCAGATAGAAACAGAGAGTTCATTTCTTTGTTCGTAATTTAGTACATTTAGAATTTTATTATTATTTAGGTAGGCTTTCTATCTTATGATGAAAAGTTTGTTGTGGTCAATATTTTAATTACTGTTGTTCTCCCATGGTTAGCTTCCATGGTAATTAATGGGCTTGTGTTGATCATTTAAATGGATTCTACTTCCTTACTCGTTTTTGCAGGTTAATATATTCAAAGATGTGTGATGGGCTTCTAACTGATGCAACAAGAGTTACCTCATGTGTTTTGCCAAGTATTTGGGCAGGATACCATTTTGTTTTTCACGTGGCATTTCTTTCTATGAGCATTTAAATGCTTATGGATTTTTTTATCTCTCTCTGTTGGAAGATCTAATGGATGCTGAACTATATAAAAAGGTAGCCCATTATGACTAAATATAAGAAATCACTGGATACATGATTGCTAACCTAGCTACATTTTGATAGTTTTCAATTTTTAGAGAAGAGAATTGGCTTACTTTAAATTCAAATTTAGGTAAATTTCATTTCTTTGTTCAATTGAATTAATTTCTATAAATGTTTTTTATATCTTAAAAAAATTAATTTATTTCTTGTTAGTTTACTTTTCTATTTGAAATTAAAATTAATAATCTGTACCGTATCTATACAACAAAAATTTATCAAATCAAATCTTTATATCAAGTTAAGTGTTAATTGAATCTATACTAAATCAATTTATTTAATATAAACTTAATTTCCTTAGAAACAAGAATAAACCAATATAGATTTTTAACCTGCAAGGCTGGCTAAGATTTTAATAAAAAAAGTTATGAAAGCTTATTCGAAAATACTGTTACTGCTGAAAATGTTATACGTTAGAGTCACGTCATTATAAAATTTAAAATCGCAGATTTCTTTCGTGTTTAGGATTGTACGGATAAATCTTTAAAGCACATATATTATAATCAGTCTGTAACTCAGAAATTGGCCTCAATAGCTAGGCTGGCATGGTGAGAAATAGCCATAGGAAGTACGCACACATGACCAACTATTATAAAGAGAATTAAATCTACTTAATTACATTTGAAACTTGCTTCATTGCTTTGTCAGAAGGATACAATATGTGCTAGGCAATGCTTTATCTTAATTTTCATCTTTTCCCCCGAGTAAGTTCAAATGCAAGCCTTTTGATGTTGGCTTGCCTGAGAAGATATAGGTGTTTTCTTCAACAAAAAAAAGGTACAGAACTAACAAGATAAATTAGAATCTAACATTTTTGATGCCACAGACATCTAAGCTGTCATGCATTTTAGTAGCATATCATTAACAACTTATTGGAGATTGATATCAACTCAAGTGGATATATTTGATTCATTTCGAGTATTCCTTTATTTGAATATTATCCACACTTTTTTTATTTTTATTTATTTATTTATTTTTATAAATGGGGACTCTAGCTACAACCCACTCAATTGTTAGGGATTAGAAAATTAGAGATAGTAGTTAATAATTAGGGAATTAGGATAGAAAAATAGTATTATCATAATAAACTAAATTAGCAACCACTATAAAGATGAAAAGTTATTTTGACTACTTTTTTTGTAATGAAACTTTTTTGAAATTTAAATATATCCATAAAAAGAATTTGAACTCGTAATATTTTGTAAGAACAAATAGTTCATTAACAATAGATTAGAAGTCTATTGGTATATTTTATGGTATTTACATTCAAAAGTATCTTCATGCTCAAATGATAAATACACATTTTAATCTATATTTTGATATACACATTTTAATTAATCATAGATCACTATAAGATAAAACAATAAGATAGGACAGTTAATTAAGATAAGAAAGTTAATTAGGATGCGGGAATACTAAGATGAAGAATTTCCTTAAATTGCAGCCTCCTAGTCTCACTATACGAGGTTCTGTACTTATTAGGCCAATACGTTAACCAAATCCACCCTTTAATTTCCCACTCCATTGTCTTCCCTATGATGCTTTTGTCCACTTTCCACTGCACACTCTTTCCATACTCATCACAGGCAAAGATCACCCCTCCTTGCCTAGTGAAAGGCCGGTATGCGCTCGAGTACCGGTTTTTGAACCATGCCTTGGGGTTGATCAATGCCATCTTTGGAGGTTTGGATGAGAAAACCTCTCTTCCATCCGTACTATCATGAAGAAACCAATTCATTATCGCACTGGAACCATAAACAGATTGCTCAAATTTCCAAGGCTTCAAGCTCATTGACACGGTCTCTCCTGCAGAAACCTTCAGCCCTAAGAAACTGTTAGGTGGATCAAAAGAAGTTTCTATACCTTTTTCTAATCCAATCTCTGTTGTTGGATTCTCTGAAGACTTGCTCACTGAAACGCTTATTATGTTGGTTTGGAGAATTGGAGTGAGATGCAATGATATTCTCGAAGGGAAGTGCTTCTCATCCGTCCCAACTCCTTGTTCAGTCATGAGAGTTTCATTAACTAGTCGGATAACATCACACCTAGTATTAATAAGCCAAATTATGAATATGTGATTAAGGTAAAAGATCATTAGGTCAAAAAGAATAAGATTAATTCGTAATTTGTGTTCCAGTTCACATATATGGTTAAAGAAATATGAGTACCTTATGTTATCTGTATTTACCATCACACCAACCCAATTTTCTTGAACGATGACTTTGTAGTTGAATTGGATGACACCTTCAAGTTGGTGGTATTTCAGGGAGAAAAGAAGCCTCTCATGAGCAGGAGGATTGCTTGAACTTTCGATATCCATGGCTATGACTGGGCAATATAACTGAACTTTCCATAACCCGGATGTTGAAAATGAGTAAGAAAAAAGTGGTGATGGAGTTTTGAGAGTTTGGTGGGAAGCTTGGAGCTCTGCAATCCAGTTTGTGATTGCAAGATTTACGGACCTCATCCACTGCTCTTCTAGATTGGATCCCATGATTTTCATGAGTGACTTTGATGCTGCCCGCACTTGGCAATTAGTCAATTGATTCTTGATACTAGCAAGACATTCAGAGCGTAGCTCTGCAGGAGCTTCGTAGATGCAAACGAGGAATGAGAGTGTTAGAAATGCAAGGTTGAACGTATCTTTTAAGTGGGCAAGTACCGAATCCCTTTTGAGAGCTTTGGTGGAGGAGCTACATGACTTGTTTGCGGCATAACCAAGGACACCTTCAATAAGGTTGATTGAGAGACTTGAAATCGTTTCATCATCTAATAACTTCGGTGATTTGGGGTTGGTTTTGATTGGCTTTGAGGACCAAAGAGATATAGGGAGATTGAAATCTGCAACGATAGAGAAGGAAATAGTTGAAGATTGTCGGTTTTTGGCCACAGAAAGATTGAGGGATGGCTGGGAGTAACTAGAAGAACAAATACATATGGACAAGGAAGTTTGTTCTTTCCATTGAGTGATTGGTGGAAGGTTCTGAATCCAAGCAAGAATGTCAGGAGAGCAACAAGAAGCCATGAAAGCAGCCTAAGTTGAAGTTCCTGCTTCTCCCTTTAAGATAAACTTCATATTTAAAGACGACGTCTTCATTCATGGATGGAAATAAAGTTGAGATTCTAATGGGGAAGAAATGTCAAAAGGGAAGCAAATTAAAAGGTTAGAACATAATGCTATAATTCTACTTTGGCATTGGGGAATAATTAAAAGATGGCTAATTGTACAAGAAATGGTCGCATATGGAATGGCGAAATGCCCGATATATTCCTTTGTACTTAGCATATGATCGAATAAAAGGGAGAAGATTTTCAATTTTTGGTTGATCAGCATCAGATGCCCAAGTCCTTGCAAAACATGATTAATATAGTTCTATTATGTATGGCGTGACTAATATTCGTACAAAATGGCCATGGCCAGTTAATAATTAATGCATGCATACATTACAAGAATACTAAAAGACATGTGTAAATTACTGTTTCTTTCTCATTCATGTAGACTTAGATCATTATGGACTAACTCAGTCCTACTATTTGCTTCTATTGCAATGCATCTTAACCGTCCTTTCTTTCCCATATCTGTTGTGGCTTCGTTGCTGCCGTACAATTTGCTAATAATTTTCCCGTCATTTCACTCTTTCTCTCTCTCAAGTCCTGCCTAATTCTATTTTCTTTTATCTTTATTTATGTTTGTATCATTCAGTGCTCTTTTGAACTTACCTTAATGCCCTCGTTTTCAATCCTTTTTTGGCTTGCCTTTTCCGCCCTGTTTCGTTTTCATGCCCTTTCTCCCTCTCAAGTTCAATTATTTCTTGTGAGTGTATTTAATGCAGCACAATGATGGTGTTGCACCCATTTGTTTTTAAAAATTATCATCCCCTCAATTTTTCTCCATTCTCACCGATTTGGATCCTTCTGATGATTTATTTTCAGGGATTATTAGTAAACGTGCCAGCCCGCTTCACTGCTTGCGTAATTATACCTAATATCCCTCTATTATTAGGGATGGATTAATTATGTCCATTTACTACTAATATGATTATTAGGATCTCTTTACAATGTATTCTATTTATAATTAAGATTTTTCATCTAAAATGCTATTAACATTAGTTTATTTACTAAGAAATTGAAAAGAAAAATAAAATAAAATTATTAATAGAGAGATTCATCTGGATTTTTTATTTTTTTTAATAATAGGGAAAAAATAAGACACATGTCCCATACATAATGAATCAAAAAATTAAATTATCAATAGAGGGATTTATTTGGATTTCTTTTAATTTTTTTAATTATTTTTTAATTTTTTTCTAATTTCTGAAATGTTTTAAAAATTAAAATTCATTTTTCAAGCATGTTTTTGCTTTTAGAAATTGAAAGCCATATCAGCTTAAATTAATATGAACATGTATTGCATATATACTGATTTAACAATTTTTTGTTGTGCCTGTTTTTATTTTATTTTTTTACTTTTTTTTAGATATTAAAAAATATAAACAAAAATAAATCCAAA